TACATCGCCGGGACTAAACCGTAGCATAAAATTAACATTAACAAGATAATCGGCGGAGCTTCTTCAAGGTACATTGTACCGCTGTTCTTATCTTGTAGCCCGATTCATGAAAAACTACTGATTCTATATTACCTAGCGTATATTTATATTAATTCTACATCTTTATGCTGTGGGTGTTTTCGTACTTTAATCTGCTGTGGAGAAACTTTGCTTCGACGTTAACTACAGCTAAGACACAAGATAATGTACCAGCAGGTAGAGCATAAAATCCCCAAACCCCCCACCCCCCCACCCCAACACACACCACCATCATCATCGCCTAAGTACCCACTGCCCCCACTACACGATCGTAGGAGGCGACTATATTTGGGAACTCGTGTGATCTCTTCTTGTTCAACAACTATTATTTCCTAATGTTTCCCTTGATACTTTTTTGAATTTTGCATTAGTTGAGGGTTCGCCCCTGTGAGGGAAGTTTTGGGTTATTGCCAGGGCATACCAGAGTCTACAAAAACGGTACCTTGTTAGTAGATATTTTCAGAATGATAGCACTACAAACACGGTTTCAGTTCCGTTCAATATCACAATGTGGTGTACGTGAACATATCACAGTCTTCAACAAACACGCGCACTCATCAGATGTACTCACCTTGTGACTACAGCTGTTGATAGGACGTTCAACGAAACAAATCCAAACATTATAACATCTGCCTGAATAACTGTACTAGTGAGCTGCATAAACTACTTCGGATATACTGAATTACTGTCGCCGAGTGCTGACCATTCGGTCATTTATACGAATCACGACGGATCGGCGCCCATTTGATCCATACCATGTCGTGTTTGGTTAAGTCGACATTCCGAATTTCTGTTTCTTTAATATTGATTATCACTTAAATCAATTTGGCGTTTATTTATCTTTTTTTTATATATATATATATAATGGAAGATCGAAATGGTTATTGACAAAAAGTTGTATGAACAAGACGAACTTGTTAACTATGGCTTTCCTTCGATAAAAAATGTTTCTTACTCTTTCTACCGACAGTGTCGTCATATTTTTGTGATTTTATTTTATTTAAACTTCATTCATTTTTACAGTTGTCTTAATATTCAAATGACATTTTTAAAAATGATATTTCGGTCGAAAGGGTAATTTGAAAGGCAATTATAGTCTCACAGGTAGTTTTGAACTTCCGGTTGTTGTTGCCAAAACCATGTGTTCAGATTTAACTAAGCACATTATTAAATTAATAATACGAGTTAAGGAACACATCTGGTGCTCAAATGTAAAGTCGTAATAAACTGCAAGGTACTTTTACTCAAAAGTTGGTCAAACTTGATAACTGAATTTTGTATCGAACATACAACGTATTGTTTGCGACATTAAAGAGTTTTTATCACTTTCACATAATTCATAGAATTTAGTACAGTACTTTGTGCTTTTATTTTGTCTTTTGTATATAAAACATAAGCGAAAATTTATGAATCATACAGTATTGTAAATAGGCGTGAACTTCAAACAGGTACGGAAAACTGACATGTTGTGTTCCGAACGCGCCCATTGCAGGCCTGCAGCTGGAGATTTATTGAAGTAAAACCAGAGTGTTTTAGATGTAGTGCACTCCCTCGTGTTTATAGGTGTATATTGAGTGTAATTCCTCCTTGTGCAAGTTTCTCCTGTATTTATACTTTACTTATAGTTATTTTAACAATGTGCCGTTAATGTCGTTTACTTTCCTTTTTTCCTTTTTGCACCGTACAGCAGTTTCAACGCAGCTCCGCTCTACCAGGGATTAAAATTAATTGTCCAGTGTACGTTGTCATTTTTTCAAAGCTAGAGTTAATGGATGCCCGAGAATATGTGATTTTGCCATACTTACCTCAACAGGGGATCGGGGAGAGATAGGAAGTTGATTTGTACATTGTAATGAGGTACGGAAAGGGAATCCTGAATGAGAAAAACGTAAAAAGAATGTCACATCATGGCAATGTGTTAAACTGTATTTATATTCTAACATGAAAAGTACATGTATTACTTTGTTGTGTTCTGGTGTCAGAATTTACTAAATAATTCATAGTTAAGTTCAGTTTCCCCTTTTTTACCCCTGACTCTTTTATTGTTGTTCGTACTGCTCGAGTATGAGTTCACTAACGGGGGGGAATTTTTTTTTTCACTGAAGTAACGATTTAAAAATATAATAGGATAAAAGCTACGTTTCTTCTCTCAAAGGCATTCATTTAAGCCAAGAAATATACAATAAATTTGTATGTCCATATACAATGTTTGCATAATTTAAGGCTTTATGTAACTACGCAGCATCTTAATTGACTATATAAACCCTGGTACAAATCTTAACATGATGTTTTTGTAAAGTTTTATTAAAATGGAAATTAGGTGTGTTATACATAATCTTTTCCTTCATTTCTGATATCAAACGCGGGACGATAATTCTATAAAATGTAAAATTGCATTAGTGTGTTTATGCGGATAGCTAATTCAATGTTAGACCAATGATAAATATCGTGTACATGGTGAAATGACTTTCTGTAACCGTACGCCCTTACTGAGTAGTATTTTCGTTTGTGACTCAAGATAGAGGACCATTTGGAGGCCAAAACTGTGCATATGGTCCCCATCAAATCTTGTGACTATTTTACAAGATTTTTGCGTATTCAAATACTTTAATGTAATGATGCCTCGTGTTTTCAAAACCGCTAAGTTCAACGTGTTTTCAGCGCTCGAAGCGAAAAAGATTTTTTTTTAATTAGTGGCTTTTGCAGTATCATAATTGAACCGGTCACTGCGCGTCAGATCGCCATTTCATTACTGCACTTGCTCATTTGAGTGCAACACGAAGTGCAGTTAGTTTCTAAAAACGAAATAAATTGTTGTTAGTTATGACATGTGTAAATTATGATAAGTACAAACGCGGGGTGTAAAACATAAATCCTAATGATGATGGTGATGATAGCTGCTATAAATCTCAAGTGTACCATTTGTGAAAAAGGGCTATAGCTATTTATGTTGATCCCAGTCAGAATTGTTAATGGAAGATACATGGATTATCCTGAATAGGTTTTAAATAAATCAAGTACAATATGATTTAATATAAGTCGGTTATAATAGTGTCTCGTTATCGTTTGTTTTAAATCAAACACTGTGTCATTTATCGTAAATTATCATAATTCACCATCTCTGGAATTTAGTTTCTTTGAAGTTTGAAATTAGTTTAAGAGAATATAAAATAAAAACGATAATTCATTTATACCAATCCATTCCATATGTCTAAATGTGGCATGATGAACATGGATAACTCTAAGCATTTAATTTGTAACATATGGAGATTGAAGTTTGACTCAAGTTAAATTTTTGTACCATTGGAATAAATTATATAAACTTGTTGTTTGTCTTCGTTAAGCTACTTAATAAAATATGTTCATGTTGATAATCACTATCGAAATGTGCTGTCTATTATACCTTCAGATAAAGGTTTTCCTACTTAAAGATAAAAACTTGTTAATAATACATATATATATAGGAGGATTCGCTTCTGTTTCATTTGTTAATTTACAGCATTCAAAAATCCGAAAGTTCATAAAACATCGGTAAGGAATTATCAATGACATAACTTGAAATTTTGCGTACAAGTGTAATTAGCTACGCTGTATTTCAATGGCAAATTAAAGGTCGTTCCGCGTAAACAGAACGTGCATGTATAGAAGATATGGGTTTCACGTGTTGCATTTTCTTTACTTTAAATCATTGGAAAAGTTTTAATTAAGTTTCAATGTGTATGATAAGATCATGAGTAAACTCTTAATATACTGGAAAGTTAAACAAGTTCCCGTATGTCTGAACACTTAGGATATTGACCGGGTATGTAAAGATTTAGTAATGTACTTTGAACAAGTACTTCATAGACACTCAAATTATCCCCTCCGAAACAACATCCACTCAAAAGAAAACGGTTGGATTTAGTTATATTCAGATGAATCCCAATCTGAAGGATTCTACTATGAATGATATCCTCATATTTGATAGAAGGCTGGGTCGTCCATATGGGCAAAACCAAGATGGCAGATAGAAAGTCAGATCCCAGCCACCTTTAGCTCATCAGCTTTTTTCAACTCATAATCGGGAAAGTTAGCTTACATAATGCCAGGGCGCGCCGTCCGTCCGTCGTCTGCCCGTTGTCCGCCCGTCGTCAACTTTTTCCATTTAAACGATTTCTTCCGAAGAACCAACCAACCTAGTTTTGTGCTATTTGGCTGGTAAGTGTATGGGATGAAGCTATATTCAAGGTTACAGATATCAAGTCTGTTAAATCCTTTTAAAGCAACTTCTTCTGATGAACCAAAAGACTTAGAAGCATGATAGGTTGCTGGTATGTCTCTCACGACTCTCACTGAGAGAGATTGATTGACTGGCCCACTTTCAATGTCAGTGATGTATTTGTGATAAATTTTAATTGTCTTGTTTGTTATAAAGTTTTTTATATTGCTTAGTTTTTCAACTATATGTGCGGCCTTTGTAGACTAACCGTAAAATATCGTTTGTGCACAGTACCTGCATCTACTGAGGTCGGACAAGTTACGTTCGGTAATATAAAAAACGAAGAATTCTTACCTAATATCATTACATATGGATGGTCTAAATAATGTACTACACCAAACGATTTTCTCACTTCACAAATAGTGCCTTATCCTTTTAGAAACGAAAACAAAATGAAAACTCAGTTTAAATCTTAACGAATAATGTTCATGGCAATATTAAATTCAATTATTCATATAAATCTATACTGATAAGTAATTTTGTAATCTGTCTAAAAATGGCACATACATAGAAATAATGTTGATGTTACAACAGAGCCTTTTGATTGAAATATCGACAAGTTTTTAACTAAGCTAATGCAACATCCACGTTATAAGGGAAGTAACTAGCATTATAATAGTAGTCTCCCTTTGCGCAGCTCTTTTTTGCTTTGAAATTTTCAGCATGGCCGACAAAGACAAATCCAAGAAAGAAGAGAAGGAAAAGAAGCCAGACCTCGGTTTATTGGAAGAAGATGACGAATTTGAAGAATTTCCAGCAGAAGGTTTAATAATTTCCACTCATACATGGCTACCAAATAGTCACTATTAAGAGAACAATTCTGAAAGTAACCGAGAATATAACAAAATTTCTGCACTGTCATTCTGCATTTGTTCCTCGACAGGTTAACAATTATTTATATATATAAGGCTTATAGAGTTGTTGTGCGGTTTCGAAGTTAGTGAAACGGTTGTTGTGGTTTAAATGTTATGACTGGGAACTATGGATTATTCCGAATCTGTCGAATTACACCAACCACGGGCATGTAAATAAGAATTTGCTTCTAAAATAGTTTCTATAAAATGTTTCGATTTCTATCAAATGCCGGTACAACATGCTCAATGCTTTATACGAATTCCAAATTCGGAATTTCAAATGTGAAATGTTTTTTCAAGAAGTATTTTTGTTTGTGCTATTAGAACTGGAAAGGTTGAACAAATCGTCCATGGTTGACAACAGTCCCCAGAGCAGCTTTAAAACATTCACCATCTCGAAATTTTTAGAGTCTATTTCATAATAGATTACTTAACTTTATGCATTTCGCATTAGGCATTTCAAAGATTTTGCATAAAGCTTTAAAAGGAAGTATTCAATTGTATAGAATGCCCCAAATAAACAAATGGCAACAACTCATAATATATAAATTTGACAACAGAAGACAACTAACATTTATTCTCGAAAAAGACAACATTGCAGTAAGATATATTTCTAAAGACTTAAGGTCATCCTGAAGTCTCTAAACAATAAAGTAGCATTAACCCTTTCCCATTTAGTATAATACCATTTCCATTTGGCCTATAAAGCAATTCACTTAGAGCATAAAGCATGTCATACTTGCTTTCTATACATTCCTCTTGAATTTTGTGGTAAAAATTATCTTGTTAACATTTACAAATTTTGTACTTTGATGGGTGCATAATATAAAATAAAAGTTTGAATATGTTTATATATAATTTTGATTTTGAACGGATTATTAATGAGATTAATTTTTTGAACTCCATCATTCCAGACTGGAACAGTGCAGATGAAGATGAGAAGGACATTAATGTTTGGGAGGATAACTGGGACGATGACAATGTAGATGATGATTTATCAGTTCAGCTAAGGTCAGTAACCCGAAGTGATGAGAATCTTCCTATTTGATATCAGGTATTGGCTTAGTAAGTGATATATAGCTTGGTTACATTACATATTACTAAGGAAATCAGACTTTCTAGCTATACTTAAACCTAAAAAAAAGTTGAAACAAAGAATTGTGTTAATGGTGACTTTCATTATGTATTATAATGAAAAGTATGCCAGATAGCGACCTTCAATGATTTAAGATATGGTGATTATTTGACAAATATATTGTCCGCCTGTCAAACAATGCAGTTTGAGCCTTTTGAAAGTTATATCATTTTGAATACCTCTAAAGTAGCTTCCTTTTTTGTTTCCTACAGGAGTGAACTTGAAAAGTTTTGTAAAAATTCTGATGGCCATGAACCTATGAAGAAGTAGCAGGAAGCATTCGATATCATCTCTCATCATCATAAACCTCATTTCATAGACAGTGTGCTGATTCAGAGTTCAGCAGGACAGTCACTCAACTTTATTTTTTATCTATTCTTGAATCCTTACAAATGTTTAGTGAAGTTGTTTTAAAAGCAATGACACATAAAAAGTTTGTCCATCTGGAAAATATGGAGTAATTAACTAAAAGAATGCGCGAACAATATTAGAGATTTTATCTGTTATAATTATCATGACAATGTCATTAAGTGCTCATGTTACACAAGGATATTTCTATCAAAATTAAGGTAAAGACAGTCTTGCTAGTAACAACTTAGTTCTTTCAGTGTTCATCATTGAAATTATTATTAAAAATTGTTTTGATATTAAATATTGTTTATTCCTCACATACACAATTGTAGACTTGTAATGTTATGTTAGCTGACTTGAAAAAGTTGACGAAACATCCGACTGGTCTAAACAATTGCCTCTCAGTTTTTTTCTGCTCACATCGCACTTCATTCAACTTTCATTCAAGGTCAGAGGGATCAACTCCTCAGGTCCCAGAATCCTGATTTATGGGTAGTAATTCAAACAGAATGCAACCAAGTATCCTCATGAAAATGACCTAAACCTAATTTCAAGGTCACAGGAACCAATTATAATCATTTAGAAATTTTCTTTTTATACATCCATGAAATATCACACATATTAAAGTGACATTGCATGCCATCCAGTCGTAAACTTTTGTTTGACCAAGTGTCTCAGAGTTTCCACCTTTCACTTTTAGAAGAGCACCGGATATTTTTATTTCTTTGAATAGTTTCCCACTCACCCTTCAAAACTTGATATGAGTTAATTTATCATTAAAACATTCAGAATCTTTTCCTCTCTTGAAATTTTTGCTCATTATTACCAGTTCTGTGTAATGTTCTAAGCTGCAGTACTTTATTGTAATTTTTTTTTCTTTTTCAAAAGATTTTAAATTAAATCTTGTTGAGAGATATCCCTCAGTTTCTGCAAATCTTTTTCAAAAATTTGTATACGTTTTCACCAAACACAGACTGTTTTCCCGTTTGGTATTTACATATATGTTATATCTATATAGTTTTGTGCGAGCAGTTGTTTTTTGGTCTTGCATCATGGTGTACTCTTGATACTGGGACCTATCGTATGCAAGAAGGTACATGTACACGTACTTGAATTGACATCCTTCCTTCAACTCCCGATGGATACAATTTTCTAAAATACCACTGATTTAGATAGAACTTCTATTTAACTTTATCAGTTGCGTAAGGTCAGGTTCAATCACTAGTACAGGATAGATCAAGTATTTGTCTGATAAAGCATCTTATTTTTTCAACTATTACAAAATGTGTACAAGTGATCATGTCACCATAAAGACATGGAACCTGTTCATTTAAGTGGACAAACACACCGGGACTTCGCAAAAATTCAAACACACATAACATATATATATGGACTGTTAGTTGGAATTCATGTCAAGTTCCTTTGGGCAAACCAGTCAGTCAGTATTTCAAATGTTACATTTCAGGCATAAATCTTCACCAACTTTGAAATATTATTCAGGCCTCGAAAGGCACAGTTGATGCTTGTCAGAAAATGAGACTCCCTAAGGATCTTGATGTCCACTATTGTTTCATTTGTTCTCTGAAAGTTGGATCTTTTTCCTACTTTTCCTTTCCTCTGTTTTTGCCCTTAACTATAAGAGACTTCAAAAATTTGTTGTAGAAATAGCAATAATAATCTTCAACTGCCAAATCCAAGATGGTCATCTGTCAGCCATTTTTATTTTCCTATTTGGTCACAAAATCAAAAGGGCATAACTAGGGACCAAAAGGAAACTACGAAAGAAACAGTGATTTGATCAGTTCCAAAATCAAACGAGCACAATTTAGGATCAATAGGAACTTACATGTGAACTTTTAGAATGATCCAGCCAGTATATCTAAAAGAATAGCAATAATGAATTTTCATTGTCAAAATTCTGCCTGTAAGCCATTTTGTTTTTCTAATCAATTCCAAAATAAAACGGGCACAAGAGATCAAGAGGAATCTACAAATGAAATTCAAGAAAGACACATACAATACTTCTTAAGAAATGGCAATTACAAAAATTGCTTACGGATGGACAGACAACGGATGAAGGGCAATTTGAAAAGCCAATCGTCTGATGATGGTATGCTAATAAAATAAGTAGGTCTAAATCTAGATAAATTCAGCCTTCAGTTATTCATCAAAGAGCTTGTTGAATTTCATGTAGGTCTTATAAATGGCATTCATGTATAGAAATCTTGAAAAAAATTTCTACTTTCAACTCTTTCCCTCGAAAATGATTTTTTCTGTTGACACATAGAACTACTATTTTCTGACTAATGATCCATGGAAAAATCAAAGTCAAACAAGAATAAAAACATGGTAAAATTTTATTTTATAATTTTCATATAAATATTTCTAAAATTGGATTTCATTATGTTATAACTCATCTTTATTATTAGCAGTTGGTGCATTGAGAATATATTTGAGGAATTCATCTTCAGTTCGTTCACCATTGTACTCTATCAGGAAATCCCCCTTTACATACAGCTTAAAGGTAGGGAAGCCCTCTATTTTTCCTTTCTCACAAGTGTCTGAAAATAGAAAATAAAACACATGTTCAAATGACATTCCATCTGTCAAAGTGATTAAAGGCAAAATGCTGTGAATCTTTTGAGCACTTAAATTCTTTGACCAAGAACTCAAACATTAAGTATATTGTCATGATTGACATCTATTCTCAGAGAGAGTAAGCATGATCTTAAAAAATTCATACATGAAGGGTTTTTTTTCAGTGATAATTAGAGGTGTGCAGTTTGAAAGTCATCAAGTCCAATTTAAGGAAACTTTGTTACAATCTTAAAAAGTCCAGGAATTTTTACTGTCTCTCAATGTCTCTCAATATTCTGTCCGAGATGCAATACATTCAACCTGAGCATTCAGTTTACCATTGGACGTGTATTTTTGACTCCTGAAAATGTTATCTGACTATTGAGTTTGAAGTGATACATCTTTTCAAATATTTTAATCTCTCACATTTCTGAATGTACTTCTGAAATGATGAAGCCCAAAGGGCAGCTGAATACCTTGGTTCATTATTTTTTTTACCACAGTGACTGTTTCGACTGTGTAAAATTTAAGAACATTAAACAAATTCTATGACCAAAGAATACTCCTAATGGATACTAAAATTACTGACATATCACGTCAGATTAATTAATTTTCCCAAATGATGCAACGTAAACTTGATTATATAATTAACACTCATTCACGTTGCTACCTATTTGTTCTTAGCTCTTACCATGAGCTACGGTGCAATCAACCGCAACAAAGCCACGAGACTTTTCCATTTTTTCTAACTTGTCAGCTGCTGCCTGGAATGCTGGCTTAGCCTTTTTACAGTGGCCACACCAAGGAGCATAAAACATTACTAGAGCTGAATCCATTTTGGCCATTTCTGATGCGAAATTGTCATCTGTAAGATGTTTCACTCCACTTGGGACATCGCTCCAGGATTCTTCTTTGGCTGGAGGTGTTGGTTCCTTTGAACTTGGACTAAAACATACATACATTGCCATGAATTTACATCCAATATTGGAGAAAGCAAGACAGAATTAACTTGAGTAAAATGTTCCTCTTCAAATGATGTAGCAGTTATAGTATTTTTATCTACTTTGCTAATAGGTCAAAGGTCATAATAGCAGATACAAACCTTTAATATAAACAAATCCATGAAAAGAATATCAACATTCCAAGTAACATGGTTTCATTATGTCAGAACATTCTACATCAGAAAAGTCTTCATTATATAAGATCTATAACCAGACAAGTATTTCTGTTAATATCGTAAATATTAAATCTGTAAATGGATTTAACAATAACCTATATTTTCTTGTTTCTTGACCATATTCATTTTTCTTGCAATAATTCCAGGGACCAACTGACTTATGTTAGGAGGTGAACTCAATAAAGCTAATGCAGAGCAATGAAATATCACTGGTTGCTGAACATTGATACAAATATCTGGCTTGTTACCACCTATACAGTTATTGCTAAAAATTGGCACACCGTAACTTACTTTTTCATAAAGCTAACAAGATCATTTGTAGTTCTTCCCTTATTGTATTCAAATGCTTCTTGTCCATCTCTACAAGAAGAAAAATAAGCTATTAACATATACTTAAATACATCATAACTGTTGTTAAGATCTGCATTAACATTTCTCTGAAATTTAACTTTGACTGGTTTGAGGTAATTAATTCTGGACCACTACAAAATATCACATTTTGCTGTTATTGTTATCATTATAGTGAATTGAATAATAGATCACATTAAATTAGAAATCAACATTAGTATCAGTGAAAATGATGAATGTTCCCCTAAAGCAACTTTATTGGACAGACATTTTTTAATAAAAGGGTCATAATTCTAAATCTGGTTTACTGCACATTCTCTTAACATGACATAAATGCATAAATCATGTTTCATCATCCTAATTTTAATGCAAGCAAAGCTAAGCTCATGACACAATTTTTTAAACAAAGAGTAATAACACTGTACTGAGAGTAAAGGGCCCAGACTTTGCTCAACTGCACCTTGTTTTTTTATTACTTATGTATACCTCATGTTTCAATAAAAAAATTGAAAAGGCCTATAACTTTGTAATTGAGGGGTCAAGTGTCCTGGATTTGGTACACATCACACTGTCTTAGTATAATCAATGCATATACTAACTGTCATGATCCTTGCCTGAGTGGGCCAAGTTATGCTTTGGACAAGAAATTTACAAAGGACAATAACTCTGTATTTAAGAGGTTTCGGACCCAGACATTAGTACATTACACACTGTCATTGTATGATCGATATATACACCAAATTTCATTATCCTGCCTTAAATGCAGGAAAAGTTATGTTCTGGACAAGATCTTTTACACAAACGGCCTTATTGGCCTTTTTAGCAAAGGGGAATAAGGCTGTAAGTAAGGATTTATGGGCCTTTATATTAATAAACTGCATATTGTCTTTGTATGATTAATGTGTACACCAAATTTCATTATTATATCTTAAATGCAAGGAAGTTATGCTCTGAACAACATATCTTAAACAAAGTGCTATAACTTTGTAATTAAGGGGTCAAGGGCCATGACATCTGTAATTAAGGGGTCAAGGGCCATGAAATTGGTACAATGCATAATGTCTTTGTATGATCAAAGTTTGCACAAAGTTTTGTTATCCTAGTTTAAATGCAAGCAAAGTTATGATCCGGATGGCCAGATAGTCTATATGATCCCCTTAAAATTTTTGGATAGCATAACAACCTATGTGAACACGCCAAACACGATGAGTGAATGAAAGTCACTTCTAGTAAATCCAGAACATTGACAAGCAACAAAATAAGGTTGATAACCTCATATACTGTTGTTATCATGCATCTAAATAAGGGAGATAATCTTATATACTGTTGTTAACTAGCAGCTAAATAAGGGAGATAACATTACATATATACTGTGGTTAACATGCCGCTACTATTGTTAACATGCAGCTAAATTAGGGAGATAACATCAGATTGCTTAAGTCCAAACACAATGTAAATAAAATACTTCATCAACAAGAAAACCAAGCAAGACCTTCCATTAAACTTTATTTCATATTGTCGTTACTTAAAACATACCAGATATAGCATTGGCCTTTGATTTGTTTCATTTTAATCAACTTTTTTGTAACATGGAAAATGATTAACCAACTTTACTCCACTAAAGAATTCCAATTACCTTTGCTTCATACTTTCACAAAATACTTTTCATTATAAAAGAACATTTATTGACCTTAACCTTTGACTTAACAATAGCCAATACACCTTATTGTGTTTTTAATTTTTTGCCAACTTCAATATCTTTAAAATTTCATGGTAACAAATCTGCAACATTGACTTTCAACCCAATCATCAGTTGGTAGCTATATTGTTCTTCATATCTATAAACACAATGTATATTGCTTACAGAAGTCTAACAGGAAAGTGCATGCACAATATGTACTTCCTTTCCTGATCAAGGGTGATGAATTTGAGATTTTTCATTTTAAACGAACATTCTAGACAAATTAGAATTATAATAGGTAACATCATTTAAAAAGAAGCACACTTACATGATGTAAAAAGATTGATATATGGGAAGGAATGAGTGATGAAAGAAGAAAAGATTATATTACTACAAGCAAGCAAAGGGAGATGTAGTCGTGAAAATGAGAGATATATGCAAAGTTAGAAGACTAGATAAGATTAGTGAAGAAAAAAATCTCCACAAGCATGCAAAGGGAGGCACTGACCAAAATAAAGTGTATGAGAATATAGGAAGTGAAAACTGATTAGGAAAGCCTATCTACAATCATACCTAAAGACACAATGAAGAAAAGAAAGGATATATGTGAACAGGCTAGACAGAAAGCATAAACACATCCAAATTACAGATATCAAGTACAAACAACATCACTTACTTGAAATATTTTACTGAAGCAAACAAAACAACATATTCAGATTCATCATCAAAAATTACATTTTTTTTGTATCATGAATTCAAAATTACCATTTTTTAACAAATAAAAAGAAGATAATTTCCCTTTCTAAAATTTTTAAATGCTGCTGAGCAAATACCCATATTGCAGTGTAATCACATCACAAATATTTGTGACATTGTTAAGGTTACCAAAAAAAGTATACGTGTATTCAAACAAATATTCTGATGATATGATTCTTATAACAATTCACAAAACACGACCATTTAATTTTTATAGATTAATATATAACAGCCTTCTAAATGCCCTATATAACAAACAGCATCTAAAATCAAGGGTCAATTCTTATATATCGAACATCGTGCTAGGAAAGTATTGTATTCAGTTTATTGATAATCAGACAATTACTTACATGTAGGGTATCCCTTCACCCCAAACCTGGAGGCAAGATTTGGCTCTAATGTAGCATCAACTGCTGCTAAAACTCCATTAACCTGTTAACAAAGGAAATGTGACCTTACTGTAAATTACAATGGTTTTAACTGGAGCTCCATACGTCTCTGAAACAACGTTTATGTAGATCAATAAACTTGGAAGGAACCCTTTTTAATTACATAACAACAATACAACATTTTACTGAAATCCTTTTTAAGATAAAATATCATCTATCATTCATCAATTCTGTTTTCAAATATTGCAGTTGTAGTCCTTCGTAATTACTTTCAAATAAGAGATGAAACCACAAATAAAACTGGCTATTCCAGTAAAACATCTACTTGACCCCAGGATTCCCAAAATAAATCCCTTCTATCCCTGGTTCTGTGTCCTGCTGTTTACTTCTCAGCAAATTATCAAATTTTACAGATGGTATCTCTAAACAAAACCTGGAGTTCTGGGATAGGGTTCCATCTTAACTTACCTCTTGGTCGTTAAGAATAGTAGCTGCCTCTCCATAGGCTGGTTTCATTGCTTTACAATGTCCACACCCTGAAAACCAACATCAGTTCCTTAACTGCATGTACATGTATGCAGGATGTAGTCATGTTTCATCATTCAAACAAGCAATATTAATCAGTATATTTTATGTGACATATACAGCAATTTAACATTGATTTGGTATGTTATATATTCATGTCACTGTTAGAATTGTGAACCTGTGGGGCAACATGAAGTAACAAATTAACACTAGTGTTGACTTGGCAAAATTCCATCTATGTATGGACAAGCTGGATTCCCCGTGTCATTGTGTCATCATCACAGGGTACATAGTTCTTAGCATTTGTCCTTCAGGGGTTCTTATTCTTTAGTTACAAAGATTATAAGGTTGAACCTGACACATCATTTTGTCTTTAACAGTCTATAAAGGCTGTGACAAGGATTTCCTGTTCCAATGATTTCCTCTTAACAAAGTTTTAACTGTACTTACATGGAGCATAAAACATGACAAGTACAGAGTTGTGTTCCTGGAGGAAGCTATCAAAGCTGTCAGTGGTAAGGAATCGTAAATTTTCCATGCCGACCACCTCTGCCCACTGTTGGGCAGGGGTCTCTACAGCAGGAGCTGGAGGTGAGGCCCCAGGATTCTGTGGGTCACTCATAAAGTTCACAAAGTCAGCCTCCTACAAAAACAACACAGTGTATGATTAATTCAAAGATATCAACCTCAGAGTTACTGATAAGAGATCCCAAAGAAATCTGGGTGTAACTATTGTATAACTGTTGCTGGTTTTATAAAAACATGGTCATTTTGTTTCTTCTCTCCTCTTTCCTCTCAATTGTTCTTAATTGGTTCATGTGTTTTTGAATTATATTACAAAACCATTCTACAAGAAACCCTTGTGTAGAATTGAAATGTATTTTCAGAAATACGTCAAGTGTACAATCTACAATGGACACTTCGCAATCATCAACTTCTTCAAATCAGTCACACAAATGAGTATGCAGAACTGACGACCAAGTGAAACCCACATATGATATATGGAAATTGTCCATCCAGTACTTTCTGAGAAATAATGATAGTAACCTTTAAGTTTCAAAATCCAAGATGGCCATTTTATTATTCTGATCTGTCCACAAACTTACGGTAAGCATAACTGAGAAAAAATAGAAACAAAATATTCAAGAATGATCCATCAAGCACTTCTTAAGAAAGAACAATTACAAGAATTAGACAAACAGGGGGCGATTTGAACTGCTTGTCATCAAATGTATGGAAGCTCATGAAAAATATTAAGCAAATAGGAGACATGATGAAGTTCTCCAAATCTCTGCCACACTTGTGACTAGGAGGAGGCATATTGCTCTTCTAAACTCTAAGCTCTACCTTTTATATGGTTCTGAAGAAAGATGCTGTTCTACTCACCTCTCTACCACCCATGTAGTTCTGAGGAGACTTCCCATACTTGAAGTATTTAAATGTTGGATAACCCGTCACTTCATGAGCTGTACAGGATGTGGAGTGCACAGTACAGTCAATAGCAGCAAACAGGACCTACATAAAAACATATCACTGTAATGATACCCCTTCTTTCAAACTTAATGATAATCTGTTGAAATATTTCCACCAATGAGAAAGCTAGGATTGGTAGTAACAGCTAGTTACTGCACTGTGTTATTTTTAGTCTAAAAATATGCACAACCATTAAAAATTGCTCTTTTTAATGTTGAGTTGAAGTCAATTTGATAAAGTGAAAGAAAAAATGCAACTCCAAATTGACAAACAAATGTAAAATACAGTCTTGACTTTATACAAAGCACAATCAGTTCCTTGGTATTTCCAAAATTTAATTATCCATGGTTAATACAAAATAATAGACTAATTGAAATTTCGGTTTTAACTCTATATACTGTGCTAATTGTTTTTCTTACACTTGACAGATTATTAATGTAAAAATATGATATAATAAATTACTTACAGTAACATTTACTAACACAAGGACAGTGAAATTCTCACCTTGGAATCATCTTTAAGTTTGGCAGCTGCCTGTGTAAATTCAGGCTTAGCCTTTTTACAATGTCCACACCCTACAAAATTGATATCATAAAAATAGAAATATTCAAAAGAACATTTCTGAACAGGATGTAAGCCTGCTTTTCTGAAAGCAAATCACGAGAGATCCAACATCATTCCATTAAAACAGGCAGATTGGAATTTTTATAGAGATAAACATAGAAACCAGATTATTTTGGTAAGATTTCTAAATAACCAGACAGCTAAAATTCCATATGGCTGAATCATTTAAATTTGCTTAATTTATCTAAGAATTTCTTAACGTTCAATCATAGCAATGTTTGGATAGGAGAGTTTAAAGAAAGGTTTTACCACATGTTACAGTTATATTATTCACAACACATTGTGTAATCATTATCAAAGCAAGTGGAAATTATAAGGCCAACATACATGGTGCATAAAACATGACAAGGCCATGCTTCTTTTTCTTCAGAGTAGATTTAAAATTTTCATCAGTAAGGTGAGACACTTCACTCTCCGTTTCATCCCATTTAGGCTCTGGAGGTGGAGGTGGAGGGGGCTCCTTTGGACTGAAAACAAAGTGTACACACAATATAAAAGGATTTAAAGGATGGTTCATGAGGGAAAAACAAACTCGTCAAGTACAACTACCTACACTCATCAGATCGAGATTCCATAGGAACAAAACTACAAGTATATCACAAAATACAATAATACTGACACTGAGGGATCAGGGAGACAGAGACTTTGTAGAGGATTGGAAGAGAGGTACATTGTGTTATATTGAATATGTACCCATACTTAGTATATTAAATTTGCAGGACTAACGCTTTGTGGTTGACCTAGTCAATAACAAGATCGAAATTTACATTAGGCTGTTAAAGGTATTTGTATTGGTATTTTAAATTATACCACATATTTTCTGGTGATCACAATAGTTTATCTTTTATAACTGGTATAAGATATCAATTTGTCGTTGAACCATATAGTTGAAGTGCCAAAATGCAAACTACAACAATGCAGTTTATTATTTCTGTATCAATGATATAGAAAATTCAACTGTTTCGAATTAAATCTCAGAACAAACAAATCTGGTAGTACTTAAAAAGTCCCAGGACAACTATTTTTCCTGTTAAGAATTGAAAAGCAAATTCTCATCATGATTACACCAATAGTGGCTTTGATAAATCCATTTTGCCTTGTAAGGTAACAAAGTCAGCTGGAATGACTTCTTTAATCAAAAGACTGGTACAAATTCAGACAGGGAAACATTCTTGTGTATCGGAAGTTATCCTGTTAAATCAATATGTTTGTGACGGTGGGTTCAGGACTACACTACAGATATGTTATAACTATATAGGTATGTAGACGTGTTACTTACTCTTTCATAAATTCTACTATTTTTTCTTCTGTTCTTTCATTTACATCAAATGCAAATTCCCCATCCCTGAAAAAAAGAAACATAACATAACTGTTTGTAATTTAATCAATTATTAAATATATTCTTCATGAATAATTGATAACCAATGGTTTCTGAACAGACAATATATGGTTAAACAAAGTGAGGGTCACTTCAGGTAACAAGAGGCCAAAGGGCCTTACCGAGTAGTAATAGTTTGTGTGTTGAAGAGTTAATACATAGAAAATGACATTTTTAGAGTGTAATTTCTTTTTATTCAAACATGGGTAGAGTAGAAGTCTTAGCATGGATGGCAGTTAATGTTATGCACATCATGTATTTGCATCACATGTACATTGTAGTTCAAGTTATCTTACTTCGTTAGCTAGATTATTTCTATGGCATGCTAAAAGAAAAATGACCACATTGCAACTCAGGTAAGAGTTATGGTCCTTGGGTCTCTAGTTATATATTAACTGGTCATAAAGAAACAATGTACTTACTTGAAATATTTAACTTCATGTCAGGAAATGCATCGCAGGTAATTGGTAAAAATAAGACAACAAGAGTTATTTTCACATTTATGCAATAATATGAATGTCATATGTGATTCACACTCCAACAGAAATTTACTTACATATATAACATTCTTAATTACATTGTAATGTTGATACCTTATCACAATAAAAGATTTTGTGGTCACATACCCAAAATGATTAATATGTGAATGTATGTTTACAGATATGACATAAATTTACATGCACCATTAATTTTATGGTACCAATGCATCAACAGCTCTTAGCAATACATTGACCTATATAACATAACAAACCTGCAGGCAATTCAGTTCTAAAAGAACATAATAAAAGTTTGAGATAAAAAGGATATTAATATATTGACAGATTTTACATTTGAAAATATGTTTAATCTACTATACCTGTTGGAAATCCTTTTATGCTAAACTGATCTCCAACTGTTTTCTCTTTTGTAGCATCAACTGCAGCTAAGATACCTTCAATCTGATAAAAAGAAGTAAAAGTTATGTCTAATAATACTGATATTAACAAAACGTAAATTAAATATACATAAAGCTAGAAAATTTACATAATCAGAGTAATTGTTTGAAAATTTGACCACAGAATCCTGAAACAGGACCTCATTTGAGGTGATCTCCTAGGGGGGACCCTGAAACACAAACCCATCCAAGGCATTCTCACAGTTTGTGTACAATTTTAGCAAATCCAAGCATTGATACCAGATGTATCTCAAACTGCGTAAATATCTTAATGGTTTATCCCATAATGAATTCTTTAATTTTGAATATTTGTAAATAAGCTATTTCCATCCAATAGAGTGGCTAATATACCAAGTATTAGTGTCTAAATGCTGCAAAGCATTAAAAACTATTTTAATGGTTACTAAGTTTTTAATTATTCAATTAACAAAGTTTAAAAAATATTATTTCTAATCCATGGAAGTATGTAAGCAGAATATGGAACAGAAATTAAGATAATATACATTTAGCGTGGACATTGTATTTATCCTGCAAATGCATTTCCATTGTCCTAATACACCTACCACCTATATTTTTGCTGCACTCAGCAGTGACAGAAAGTAGCTGTATTTTAGCATGTGCATTAACTCAACAGAATTACTTTCTGATTTGCTTTGATGTTTCATTCACTAATACTAATAATTGTTTAGATAAGTGATTTTCATATTCATAAAACTTATTTTCATATCTACTGTAGTGTAAAACTATATTTTGGTGTGAGTCATTATTCAACATAACCTCTACCTCAGGGAAACAAAGATTAGATAGACCTAACAAACTGTTGAAATTTCAATAGTCTGAATTTTCAATCAGTGTTGCAGGATAAATAGTATACATGGTCTGTGTCTTAAAACATAAGCTATATTTTGGCTCTGGACAGAAAAGCAAAAGTGGCTCACTAAAGCCTCGCAACTTATGTCTTTTTTCATCCTCTTCAAAATACAGCTGATATGTTAAGATACTGACCATGTATTCTCATGTTTATCACTTACATTTTCCTCCTTTAGTGTTTCAGCTGCCTTTGCATAATCTGGTTTCATTTGTTTACAGTGGCCACACCCTGAAATAAAAAAAACAGTGATTAACATCCAAACATGCCATCACTTCCGGATACAAGATCATTCATGAGGAGAACTTGAGAATACAGATCTCATACTACATATCAAACTCCCTTCCCTTCTCCCATCATTTCTTTGAACAAGTAAACTAAACACAGATTTTGTATGGTGTCCTTGTATTTTGGCACCTCAGCACTATCCAGTCAATAAATGTTTTTTCACTATCTTAACTCAGTGCTTAATACTGTGAAAAATTTTGGCTTGGTAAGTTATGTACTGAGTATAAGATATGATAATGTCACAACCATTAAGAAATTTAAGTGTGGCACTCCAATGATTACTCTATCACTTTCATTATATGAGTGACTACGCAGTTCAAAGCATATTAAAGCTGACATATGCAATATGCTTTAATATTTTTCAGCAATGGAAACATTGAACTTTGAATCAAAATATGTTATCCGAAGCAAACACTTTCTGAAAGGATGTAATGTATTAAGTCCAGGTTTGCTGGGCTTAAGGAAATTAAAGTTATGACAAAGAATACAACTTTCTCTAAATATATGTGTTACTTATGGTAACAGTGAGTTTGGCTTTCAAACGTCAAAAAATCAATTTCAAAAAGGAACATTTATTCAAAGAGAACTAGGTTTTCAGGAGCTGAAACTATCACTGTACACAGAATCAAGCTTTCTTCTTAACTTACTGATTTTTATAGGTAACTTTGAACTGTAACCATCACACAGGATATGCCATTCTAGGCAAAAGTAAGGAGGTACGGTATTAATTAGCGTTATTCAGAAAACAAGATGACTGACTAATTGACTGATTTTTGATATGATACCATAGTCCTAACCATTCACCATAGTCCTACCCATGCATCATAGTCCTACCCATTCACCATAGTCGTAAACAGACACCAATGTCTTAATCTTATACCTAAACAAATACCATAGTCCTACCCATTCACCATAGTCCTACCAATTCACCATAGTCCTACCCATTCACCATAGTCCTACCCATTCACCATAGTCCTACCAATTCACCATAGTCCTACCCATTCACCATAGTCAAACACACCAATGTCTTATACCTAAACAAATACCATAGTCCTTTCAATCTTACACCTAAACAAATGCCTCATTCACCATAGTCATACCCATTCACCATAGTCATACCAATTCACCATAGTCCTAAACAAACACCCTAGTCTTAATCTTACACCTAAACAAACACCTTAGTCTAAACCATAGGCCATAGTCCTAAACAAACACCCTAGTCTTAATCTTACACCTAAACAAACACCTTAGTCTAAACCATAGGCCATAGTCCTTAACAAACACCCTAGTCTTAATCTTACACCTAAACAAATGCCTCAGTCTTAATCATACCCCATAGTCCTAAACAAACACCCTAGTCTTAATCTTACACCTAAACAAATGCCTCAGTCTTAACCATACCCCATAGTCCTAAACAAACACCCTAGTCTTAATCTTACACCTAAACAAACACCTTAGTCTTAACCATACCCCATTGTCCTAAACAAACACCCTAGTCTTAATCTTACACCTAAACAAACACCTTAGTCTAAACCATAGGCCATAGTCCTTAGTCTTAATCTTACACCTACACCCTAGTCTAAACCATAGGCCATAGTCCTAAACAAACACCCTAAATCTTACACCTAAACAAACCCTTAGTCTTAACATAGGCCATAGTAAACAAACACCTTAGTCTAAACCATAGGCCATAGTCCTAAACAAACACCCTAGTCTTAATCTTACACCTAAACAAATGCCTCAGTCTTAACCATACCCCATAGTCCTAAACAAACACCCTAGTCTTAATCTTACACCTAAACAAATGCCTCAGTCTTAATCATACCCCATAGTCCTCAACAAACACTAAGTCTAAATCATGCACCATAGTCCTAACCATTAGATAATAGTCACTGACTATAGTTTGACAGTTTAATCAGTAAATACAGTAGAACAATGTGTGTGTCATTGTTAGTTTCACTGTTTTGCCTTATATGATATGATTTCTGGTAAACTCTGTTTGTTGATTAATGAAATACTTTGCACAAACAAAACGACTGTATAGAAAATAAATCAACATACATGGTGCATAAAACATGACAAGTACAGAGGGGTGTGTCTTTATGTACTCCTGGAAATTACTGTCGGTCAAATGGACAACTTCTGAAGGCTCATCTGCCCACTCTGCCTCTTTTGGCTTCTCTGATGGAGGTCCAGGACTGAAAAATTCATCAAATAAGTAAGGTGAGGTATACTTTTTATTTATTTTAATTATCTATATCAAAGTCTTAATAGAAATTGAAAAAATGGATAATTATCCCATAATAAAGGAAAACAATATGTTTTTTAAAAGTAATTTTGCTGTAAAAAAGACCAGATTTGATATCAAAACTGACTGGTTTTTTTTCAATTACCAAAATACATGAAATATTTGGGACACAGTGGTTCATCATATGATGCATTTCTATGATAATTATGCAATATGTATATATCTATTGTTTTATAAGGTAGTAAACTAAACAAAATGTGTAATTCCTTACAGTTGTCAAAATCTAGATCAGTAGTATATATATAGGTATGTATCTATATGTTTCCCTAGTAATCAAGTTGATGTGGCTACATATGTGTTTTATGTGTTTATTGTGGTGTATTTCTTTATATCAATAAAGAAAAAAGTAATTTAATTGAATTTTATCCTATAAAATCTGAAGGGATGGACTACCTTAAATGTACTTATAAGGAAAATGTTTTGCTAAAACTTTCCAACACTAAGTGTACTTTCAGTCTATCATACCCTGTCATGTTCATTTGTGGACAGGATATAAAGAACCTCCAATGTTAGTGCTAATGGAAACATCACTTAATAGGCTATCTTTTGTGATAAATTACATTTTTTGAAGAACATAATAAATAAGCAGAAAACATAATGCTTATGTAAGAAAAGACTTGCAAATTAATTTTTGAATACACTGTTTTTTCAAATCTGACATCTCTGACAACTGTCTTTGTTTTTACTGGTTAACTGGTAAAAAACAAAAAACAATATTTTGCCAAACCATTTTCATTCTGACAATATGACATTTCCCTTTAACTTACAGGTAACTCAGAACACTCTGATGGGACTAAGATGTATATACTGCAATCACCATTAAAAAAATCTGTTTCATTTTTCACTCTAACAGGCACAATTTCACTATTTTACATTGTTAAGATTTTTTAATCATCTAAAATGTACATGGAATCACATTAAAAAATTCTCTTCATTAATTACCAATAAAAATCCCATGCCCATCAATAAATCTACTTATCAGGACAACCGGACAAGTTCATTTGCTGTGCTCTACACAATTTAATACAAGATACAATACTTACTTTTTCAACCATGAAATTATGCCTTCTTTATTGTTTTCACCTCCATATAGATAAAGTTTTTTGCCTTTCCTGCAAACAAAACAAAGCAAAGGTAGATGTAATGCAACTGTGTAATGTTTGATGAACAGTCAATGTCCCAGAAATCCTTTCTCTAGACTGAACAAGTTATAAAATGAAGACCATAGTGTTATTACAGCATACAAGGAGTCCAATACTACAATGTAGATTCTAAAATTACCACCTACACTGAACCTAAACGTACATTATACATTGAACCTTATTTTCACAATATGTATCTATAAAAAAAGACAACATCAAAAACATACTCAAAATAATAGATGGTTGGAAATCCTGTGATATTGTAGTCCATCCTGAGCTGCATCTGTTGTGGTTTGTCTACATCCACACCCACCAACACCTGCAGCATAGCGAAAGTGATCAAATAACTTAGAATTTCACATAGGTTGATAGAGGAAAAATACCTTTGAGTTAAAAAAATGTTAGCATTCTATAGCCTTTTACACTTCTCCAAACAACATTAAAGTGATAGGTTACATAAAGACCAACTTCTTTATGAATATAGTTGATAAACTATATTGATTCAAGATTCTGAATATCTGGTATCACATCTATAAAGCACATCTGAACTTACAGCTTTTCCCTTCATCTCTGTAGCTGCAGCAGAAAAGTCTGGTTTTAATCTCTTACAGAATCCACACCCTGCACAACAAAAGCTCAACATTTAAAACAAAATTTTAAAGTATTCACTGTAGATAATGTTCTTGTTATTCAACAGGACTTCTTATAAGCACATTAACTTTTATATATAATATAACATGGAAAGTAATGCTTACATTCAGTAGCATTTAATATCTAACAGTTAAATCATAAAGATATATTTCTTGTTTTACACATACAGTCAAATGTAAAGTAACAGTAGCATCCCCTGGGTCTTACAACTTACATGGAGCATAAAACATCACCAACATTGGACCCTTTTCTTTTTTGAGTAGCTTGTTAAAACTCTGAAAAGGAACACAATCAATTATCAAACTTTATCCTCCAATATAAAAAAGATGTTTCAGAGCTTATTTCATGACACAGTACTTTGTTGTCTGAACTTAAGGTCTATTGGCGTATCCAGAGCCATGATAAGAGGGTTGGCAGTGTGCCAAGGTCATGCACAGGGTCAGATGTGGTTAAAAGTCAGAATCAAAAGTAGGTCAAAGTTCAGCACTGTGTTGGATGTAAGCTAATCAAAGTCAGAAGTGGGTCAAGGTAAGAGGTAAGAGCTTGGCAAAGGTCAACAGGTCAAAAGGTAGGTCAAAGTCCAGGGATTCAAAGGTAGATTAGCAGATTTTGCCAAATATAATTGTAAATGTTTTCAGATATAAATAAAAACAACTTGCCACACACACACACACACATATATATACTTCCTTCATTTCCACTCTCTATGTACATGATATCTATCAAATGTTTGTGCATTCTCAATAAGTAACATTTCACCATGAAAAAAAACATGGTCTATTTGTCAGGAAGAAATGTGATACTAAGCAGAATGTGACAGTAACAGCTGACATGTTTTCTTCGGACGTCTAAATCTGGGATTTAATTTTCTGATGTGCCAAACACACTTGTTTCTAACAGAAATTGTTTGAAGACAAGAAATTTGCAATTCGATTTGTTTTCCCCTTAAGAATAGTGATTTTCCTTAACTTTTGTTTATTCATTCTTTGAAATATCTGATATACTATCATAATTTGTCGTGTACAATCACATGTCATATTCATAATTTACACATGGGCAAATTATGGTGACATCTGCTGATGTTCTGCTATTCGTCCATCACTGTATAGGCTTTATAATGTCTTCATTGCAAAGTTGATATATATATATATATACAGTGCAACTTCGATAAAATGTGTTCTGAAGATGACTACTCGAGCACTGCCGACAAAAATGGCCAACAGTGTATGAACTGTTCACCTTTTAAATACTATGTTTAATTGGCTGTTATAACATCTATGTAGTTTCTTGTAAATTTAAAGATGGCGACATTCATAATGACGACATTGACATGCTGCACTTTGGCATTCCATGGGCCATTGTAAAAGAACCAAAACAAACACAATCTAACGTAAATTACCGTTCATGGCTGATTAATTTCTGAAATGTCTTTTGCAAAACAATCTTTTTTGTTTTGAATTTGACCATGGTATGCAAACTAAAGACTCATTTTCAAGAAATTTCAGCAGCCTGCCCACTCAAACATTGGTTATATTGTGACAAGTTCATAGTGATATAAAGGGTTTTAACCCCATGTTAAAGCTTGGAATGCGCTAGCAAATTAAAAGAAAAATAACAAATGCACTAGACATGATTGGACAAAGTTGGACCTTACAGATACATGGATCAATCTGTTGTTTGGATGTCGCAAGTTTGAAAAGTTGGCCAGTGAAAATGTTTACATAATGCATCCAGGTGTGACATATGACCCTTCAGGCATGATTCCATAATTCCTGCCCGCACTTAACTGTGATTTAGCTATATTTTTTGTGATAGTCACCAAAATGAAGTGATATTAAGCATTCCCCACATGAAAGTAAATGACATTATCAGCAGTTGGATTGCAAAGAATATAAAGGGAAAAATTGTTTTTTCAAGAAAATGTTATATTAGCCAGAAAGTTACATTAACATATGTGACATTAAGTGGGTTTCATGGCATAATGAAAAACAATTCCAAAATTTGTTTTGATGCATGTCAGAAAGACTTTTGCTATTCAGTTCCTTTCCTGAAATCCCTTCCCCTGTCTCTCCATTTTTTTTTGTCCATAAAGTTATATATAACCTGTGGTGTATCAGGATGGACAACATCTCCTGCATCCGGCTCCTCCTCCCAAGGTATGTCTCCTGTTGGGTCCAACAGGAAGTTTACCATTGACTGAAAGTAAATTTCATTAATTTATGACGTAACAAGGATCTTGGCAACTTTTTAATAAAAACATCTTCAATTTTAATTACAAAAACACAACTACAATAGAAAAATATTTCATTTGGCATGTGTTGTTACCTTTGATATATTTGGAAAAAAAATTGAATTCTAGTGGCTATCTACAAACTGATGTATTTGTCTTAAAATTAGAAAAAAAAATCAATAGGATATTAGTTCAATTTATCAGCTCTTCTACACTGATGATTTCTAGAAACAAACTCCATTTTGACATGCATCAACAAAAGATTTTACCATGTATCTGATCAATAATTTAATGCACAACTCCAAAGTAAGTCTTTGGCATATATCTATTATCCATATTAAAAAAAACTTCAACATCATTAAAAAATTACATTTATTCAAAATTATCTTTTTCTCAGGTACGCGGTCATATTTGCATTATTGCTTACAGATTCTGCAATAAACATATTTAGAAAGGATAACTAATTACCATTTGAATTATTCAAAATCTGGTATGTAATTGTTCAAATACTAAAAAAATAGAAACTGATATTGAACTCAGAAATGCTTTTAAATCAAGTTGTCAAAAAACTCATACAAACCTTCTTCACCATTTTTCTGTCATATTCTTTGTTGAAACTGCCATCTCTGAAGTGTTAAATGAACATTCAGAGTCATGCTACACATGTTGGTATATCTCAATCAATATTTGACAATATAAATCAATGCAGCAGCTACCAAGACTTTCACAAAATATTCCATTTACTTTAGTTTTTTTAAAGTATGACTATGTAAAGCAGATGTTTTTAATTAATCTGAGAAATATTCATAAGTGTTAGTAACAATATCTTCAAGAAATAGAATTTTGAGGTATAGGAAATTAATTAGTATACAGTGCTATTTACAGGTACTCTGATTGTAGATATATCACATCACTGGTCTTCAAAGCTAAGGCCATATCAGACTTACTTAAAGTGTTTCAGTTCCATAGGACTTGGGGATGCTTTCTGATTCTTACACAATTTCTTGCTTTCACTGAAAAATAAGATATCAATTTTTTGGTACTACAAACATACAACCCTCCTCTCTATTTTGAAACCAACAGTATATTTGATTCAAATCTTCAAACTCCCACTCAGATTGAACAGTAATGTTCATCAACACTGAAAGAGGTAAAGTCATAAGGGTTACTCTTAATTATTAAAACAAAATATAAACTTTGCTAAAAAAACTCCAGGAAATTTGTAATTTTTCAGAATCTGGGTATTCAAATATCTTTGAATATTAGATAATAATGTAAATTAATAAGGAAACTATTTAAGTATAACCTATCAAGTGTAGACCAGAGAGGGAGTTTACAGGAAACATTAATTACATCCTGTGTAATACAACATGTTATATCAGACTAACAATTTTTTACCTACCTGCAGTCCACAAGAGCCAGAGTAGCCTTCCCCTTCATTTCCGTGGCAACATCATTGAACAAGGACATGGAGTTCGATATTGCTTTTTCTGCAAATACAAATTCAAAACTGTATACATGCAGAAAAGAAATTGAATGGATAAGATTGAAATTCAAATTGGTTATCTCAAAAATATTTGTTCTGCAGAATTATTCCTTTTCAATTTTAAGATAACAGATGAGAAATATAGCTTAAACCCATGTATACAAGCAGTCACCTAGGATCAAATATTTCATACTATATTTCATAAACAAAAAAATATACAAATTGCAGATCCTCAATATAGATGCATTACCACATAATACATAACTCAATGAATCTCTAATCATGTAGCCTATTTGTAAATGTGGCAAAACATTATCTCAATATATCATACATTGCTATATTTCCTAGAACTGAATTCTTGCTGCAAGCTTGAGGATGCAAAAACTAAGTTATCAAACAGAAGAAAAATACTACTTTACAAGATTTACAAAATATATTTACCTGATTTTGCAAATATAATTAAGAGGTTAGTCTTGGTACGAACAAGTTTTTTTAATTCTTTGAGGTCATCAATTTCCATAATGAGTCCTTTTGAATTCTGCTTGGCACCATCATGGGTGGGTACAAGAATCTGGAATGATAAGACAACACCATTGAACCAACACATCAATTCAAAGGAAGAGTTACATACTGGTAACTCTAACCAAACATTATGTCTGAAACTCAAAAATCTCACATTTCAATGGGTATAAATGATTATTTGAACATATTGACTCGGAGGAGATTTATTGAAGGCATTGAGCTTAAGCATTTCCCATGCTGCTGTGGGACTCATATTTTGGTAACACACCACAGGTTTTTTTTTCTGTAGAAGTTCAGGACTGACTACAGTGGACACAAGCTGTCACCAATAGAAAAGGACTTCATTTGTTGCTATATTTATCTCAAGATTATTATTCCTGCAAAATGTATCAGTTCTATATAAAACTTATGAAGAAACTATGAGATGTGACTTACTAGTTAATCTGCTGTAACATAAGTGTCAGGCAACATGTTGAAAAAGCTTAATTTACAATATACTACAAAGTAGAAAGAGTGTGAATTGCTCATGAATCAAACATCACACTTCTGTTTCTGGTAACAGCTGCCAAAGATAATGCCAATTGATTTATGTTATCTAAAAAAATCTTTAAGGTAGTTACCTATGCTTAATCAGAGTTTAAATTGTCGTAAAACATGTATCGTAAATTTAGAAATGTTGTCTTAAACAGTAGAAATTTGTTTGCTCAAAAAACCGAAAATGTATGTCAACCAGAGCTTGTCTATACATACCACACACACATATATATATTAATGGACTGTCTTAAGGTCAGAACCTGTCTATAAATACCACACACATATATCCTAATGGACTGTCTTCAGGTCAGAACCTGTCTATAAATACCACATATATATATATATTAATGGACTGTCTTAAGATCTCAGTTAAATAAGTTCTTTGAATTACAAATGACTTGTTTGTACAATATATCAATCATGAGTCCATCAATTTTATTGACATTAAATGTCAAGTAATTGGCAAAGGCTCCTAACCATTACTGCAATAATCATATACACGTAAACATATCATGTATGGCAAGAAAAATTCAAATTATTTAAGACTGATTTCCATTTTACAGACAATATGTAACCTTTCACCACATTTGTTTTTTTTTTTTAATAAAACTAACACATGAAGAAAATTTCTAACAAGTGTTATTGAACTTCTCCCAGTATAATGGCCTGGGTGAGATCATTATCAGCCAGTGTACAATTTCAAATGCTTTGAATAAAATATTTCCTGTCTGTCAATGAACAACTTCAATTTTTCATTACATCAATACCTTGACCCTTGTTCTAGCCATGTCTGTCTCCAGGCAGGTCATGATTACATTCTGTTACTTCCACTGAAGGCAAAATCTATTGTTCTTTTTTAAAACAAAGCAGTGATTGCAGGTGTAGAAAATCTACACATATATAGTGACATTTGACCAAGTTACCTGAAAAGAACTCACTCACAAAATTTGGTAATCTAAGCCACATGGTATAGTACAGGAGATATATGACGAGACTAAACATCAAGAAAGGGCGATGACTGCACAGGGTGGACACTAGTGAAGTTTTTTATGTTTTAAATGTGTGCATTTCTCTATCAAGTGAACAGATTATTGAAAGAACATTCAATATGAGAGATGACCTGGATAAAGTACATGGTAATTCTCGATAAACAAACGATCATAACATTGAAATTAATCTAAGCAATAATATGAGTAGGAGACCTGTCAAAATAGGTACCATGCCCACTGCTACAGCTGACAAATAAATGCAAATATAGGGTATTATGTTTTTTTGTCATGAAATTGCACCATGGGCTGACTTTTTAAAATGCAAATTTTGGGTATACTTTATCCTTATGAAATTGCACCATGGGTTGACTTTTTAAAATGTAAGTCTAGGCTCAGTTGTAGATGTTTTGTAATAACCATAGCTGTGTGGCAATGGACATTTAGATTGACAAGATAACCCATGATATACATGTACATTGATCAATCACAACACACGTCACCTGTGGGTCATATTTATATATATATACAGGTGTAATAATGGCATTTAACCACTTTGTTCTATTAAAACAAGTAGAGTATGCAAAAGAGGGCTGCTAATCTGATATGTGTCCCAAAAAAAAAAAAAAATGCACACTATCCTTACTTGGTTGGATATTAACTACTGGTACCAATATGCTGGGATTTTATGTCAATACAAACAGATTACCAGATCATGTATATCCTGTTGTAATACTTGGTGCTCATCATATTAACTCTGAATTATCAAACTATACTGGTTATCAGTCTGATCAAAACTTCTTGAAAAAAAGTCCATTTCAGTAAGCTGGTCAATCCTAGAGTAGTTTTTCACATGTTTGCTATATGGTAATTTAAGTAAACATGTCTGACACCAAAGTCAGCCTTGTGTACTCAGGGCTAACACATTCCTGCCTTTCTGATGAGGTTACACAATGTAAATAAATCCCACCTTCAGTTTGGTGATATTCATCCCTCATGATTTTGGATAAATTCACAATACAAAAGTTTTAAAGGTTATGAAAGACTGGAATGCATGATAATTCAATTATTCTCAAAACCAAAAATGGAAACCCCTATAAAGATGAAAATATGTTAATTTATGATATGACTTGAATGTTAAAGTCGATTTAATTACAATGTGTGGTATGTATGGTCTCATTATTAATCATTTTTAGGCTAAATTATTTTCTATATTTCTTGTCTTTACATGTTAATCCATCACTTTTGAACTGATATTTCTTTTTCAAGTTTCTTATCTCTTATGAAGAAAAATACATACATCAGCCTGTATTAACAAGGGGCATTGGATACAGGTTATGCTCCATAAATAGGACAAAATTTAAGTATGAAAAATGTTGTGGTTCTTGTACACCCCAATTCTCCTCATCAAGATCTATCTACCTCTGAAGCATCATGTTGACCTGATTTCTTTTAGTTTTTGCGTTATGCTCCATTCAAAATCATGAAGAACAGACGGATGGACAGAGAGGCAACTATGTGTTCTCCTTTCGAGGAGCATAAGAATGATGAAACATATAACATTCTACAGGCTAATTTATTTGGTCTACCCAACACAACTAAGGAATTACACAACTAAAATAAATTCATATTCAACATGGATGAAATGAGGTCAAAACATAAACAAAACAAAGATTGAAATATAGATAAAAGAAAATTTACACACACTTCTAAAAAGTAAAACATGAAGATCAATTGCTCAGGAAGAGGAAGATCACCTCCTATGTAAATCCTGGTCAATCAAAGTATGCAATTTTTCTTTGTAATGTCACTTTGCCAAGTGAGAATAAGGTTAGCAAGACCACATCTACCATGCATACTAATGAGCATCAAACATTTCCAATCTTATATCACATAAGGATATAGCATATTTACTAATAATGTTGTACTGATAACCATAAACCTTCAAATAACCGTCATCAATCTGCATCTCTTGAAACCCTGTGTCATGAGGTTATCTGTTAGCTGTCATTTGATATTTTATGTATCAAAATCAGCACACTGATAAATGAAAATTTTAAGTATGACTTGTGTATGTATTTAGAGTTTTACTGTCAATTTCAGCCATAAATTATCCTCACTTCTACATGAAATGTAACATATTTTGATGAAGATATATGTCTTGAGGTGAAAAGACTTGGTTATATCAGAGACGTATATAACACACATGTGTTATATACGTCTCTGGTTATATGTACCTTCTTAAGTGTGAGGAATTTCCTGACTTGCTGAGCTTTACTTTTTGGTCTCACCAATGACATTCATGTATTACATATATGCAACCCAGAGGCATCTCTGATGTGCATAATTACAATATTACCGCAATTTACTATGAATAGTTCTAATTATAACTGACGAATAGCAAACTGCCTTTTAAGGCTTCTACCTTCCAGGTATTATGTGACCCCGTTTGTCAGTTGTCATCCGACCCTGACCTAGGAGCTTCAGATATTTAGCCTGTTCGTTTATGGGAACAAACCGGTCCGTCGGCACTTAAATATAATACTTCAGACATCGGACGTGCAAATACTAATACAGACTTCTAAAGATTTTGTCGATGCATTTCAGAAAGCAAATGACAATAAATAAGTTCGCTCTCTTTTCATAAACGAACAAGCAACTTTGATTAGCCTGGTAAACGAAAACGGTTGCGCCAAAGCGGTCAGCAACTGCAACATGGCGACCAAAGGCGCCGGTACTGCGGTAGTGAAAGTGAATAACACCTATGTAACTAAGAATAGTGTATGCATTATCCAAGCATCAACAGTGAACATAACGTTAACGATTCACATATCCGTTTACATTCCAAAGAAATATATTTTTAAGATCAAAGCTGAAAAGATAAATAAAGCTTGAAAACACAACATCAAAGAAGTTCATGGGTGTTGCCCCAACACATTCAGGAGGCATTTCATTGCAAGTTTCTGAGTTTGACATTCATTATTTGCAACATAGCTTTTTGCATTTGATCTATACCCACCAATAACAAAAACGCTTTCCAGAGAAGCGAAGTCACTGCTTTCATATTCGCCATCGCCACTCACTGGCCTACACACACGTGCCACGTAAAAATGAAAACACGTGGTAATTATATTTATCAGATTGCTATGTACCGCACACTCCTGAATAAAAACGGAACGAAACCGATGACGTTTCTGAGAAAATTAGCACCGGCGCGTACACACATGACGAGATAAGACCGCTATCAGTGGGACGGGAAGTATTTGTATCAATTCAAAGATTATCGGAATTAAAATATATTATGTCAGGACCGTAGACTAACCAGGAAGATTACAGGAGGGATTAGATTTGGAGAAAAAAAACCCAGCGAAATCAGGGACGCAGATAATGGATACAAATCACAGTCACCGAAGTTCCCTCACCTCAAAGTTATGATCACGGCACTGACTAGAATTGTTATGTCAATCAATTTTATGAAAAGCTCGTAACAAAAAATATCAAAATTCGTAAACATGATTGTTTCCTTAACATCAAACGTAATGAAGAAAAGTCACAAAAGTTAGTACGATCGATTTGATAATTATTCAGGGTTCTACTAACGTTCATTTTTGGAAAAAAATATGTATCTGTGGAGAAAAATGGTATATAAACAAAGCAAAGCAAGTTAACTCAAACTTATTTGCTCTAAGCAGCTTTAAAAATATATATATACATTTATCACATGCATAGAGACATTCGCTTATCCCTCTAAAATACGTCCCTGGCGAAATGAAAATTATCTTCCAAACCGCCTACATCATAGGCATCGCTATAAATGTTCCTTTCGTTTTAGATAGCACTGATCAATGGTCAATAAATCATATTTTCTAAAAATTGGATAAGTTGATTTAAATGCCGCAATGCTTAGCAACAAGGTATAAAACAAAATATCGTCATAGTTTCTGAAAGCTGTAATCACGATGAGTGCAGATAAGCAGTCGTGAACCGATGTGGTTTGCATTACTGAAATAAATATTTGTTCGTGAAATCTGTATCCACATGACATTTACTCATCTTGTTCATTTATTTAGGGATCATTTATGCATAGATATTTTATACTAAGGAATTAAAATACCAATAAATGATCTGCTTATGTATTGCAATAATGAAGTTCATCGGACAGTTTATCTCTCACTCATGGTATAAAAGCATATGTCCAGTCGCAGTGATAGATAAATGCTACTTGATACATCCTTAATATGACAAATGTATTTTTTATTTTATCATTATTTTTTATTGTTATCATTTCTCGGGATTACATTTAACTAGAGATTAACAAGGTATATTTACATTTTTTTTTAAATTTCTATTTATTTATTCATTTATTTCTTATTTTTTTTGTGAGAACAATGAAATGAAATTTCATGATCACTCAGGCTTTAAGGTCTACGGAACTTCAAACACATACGAACTGGGGACATTAAATATTATTATTCGTTCAAAAAAATCGGGACTACGCCCCGAATCAAGCTTTGACAATGTGTTACTTTGTAATTTCGACAAAATCTCTTTACTGTTACTACCTAAACATACACTTTAGTTCTCATTCTTCCAAGTACATAAGAACGGACCTAAAGGAGGGGGTGTCGCCGTACGACACCATTCATATGCAGCAATGTTTAGTTTAGTTTAAACATATTTTATTGCCAACAAACAAGCAAACGGAACGGGCACAAGTTATTACAACATTATTTAAGCCCTCTCCACACATTATAACAAGTAAAAATTAAGGCAAATAAGAAGATACAAAACATACATATTTCAAGTCCTGACCTAAGGTCGCTCTCCTCGTTCATTCAAAATGAACATTAAATTATTCACTTAAATAAAAATCTATTGCTGGTTTTGATGAAGATGTGTACATTTCTAAATATTTCTACATTAAAGTCAACGGGTAAGTGTTGATCTCCATAAAGGAGGATATTTAGATTAAAATCGATGTTTGTATCCAGTGTGTTTAAGCTTTGAAATAGAATTCGCCGCTGATTACTATAATTTACACAGCTAAAAAAGAAGTGATAAGCATTCTCACATGGATGACCACAACCACACTCTGGGCTTTCTGTGAGATGAGCACGAAATAAATCATGGTTCAATGAACTACATTTATGCCTCAGTTTAGTGTGAACTATATTTAGTTTCCTGTCTCCAAAATTATAATATACAGCAATGTCCCTTATGTTTTTTGTTTAAATAACACCATCCTGATTACTTCCACCCGCCACCCCCACCCTGCGTCTCTTTTGCGGGGCCCATCGTCCCTGCACCCCCGATATTGGTCATATGTCTGATCTACATATTTTGCATAAAGAAATGTAAATCAAACAAAACACGGGAAAAGGTGATATTGGGGTCGGAAACAATGTGTGCCCCCTCTGTCCCGAATTCCTGGATCCGCGCCTGTTTTTTCCCACAGTTGACAATAACGTACACGTGTGCCACTTAAATTTCAGCAGTAACGTGTAATGATAAACTGTTAACAATCAGAATTACTCGACTCGCTTTACTCTGTGTTGAAATTTTGTCACACTAAAAACTAATTAACTACATAATAACATGCATTTTTTCATAGAGTACGTGCTTTTAACGATATGAGCAAAACAGGAAAGTAGTTTTCAGTTACGATTAAATAGTGTGATCATTTATTGGCAGTTGATCGCTGACATAATGGCATATTATATGGTATGAACATTTACGATTTGTAAGTTAAATACTTCCCATTTCCTGAACAACTACATTGTAAATGTTGGCCGTGTGCGGAAAAAAAAATCTATTTTCAATATTCGATGTTTTTATTTTTTCGCACGGGGTAAAGAGAATGCTTTTCATCTACACGTTTGAACGAAACTGGAATGTAATATTGTTTTATCTGTTCATATTTTGTTTAAGAATACCATTAACTGTCATCGTAGTCATAAGGAGTGTGATTTCATTTTACGCAGTAATACACTTACTTTTGTCTGGTAATTTCTTGTTACATTTAACTGTATATATACATATTGATGCTAGAAAGATTCTATCTGTGTATAATTCATTATGTAGTACACGTGTACTTTGTGTACCTAGTTTATTGACTGTAACTGAGAGTCTTTGAAGTCCGGCGGATGCGAAGAGGTAAAATGGTTCCATATGAGGTACTGGCATAGCCAAGCAGAAACCTGTTTTTGGCAATTGATCTTAACCTGTTGACCTGTAAATAATATTCTAAGTTACGGAGCAGACATTTGGGGATTTCATAAAGCTTTAGACGTAGAAAAAGTACATATTCTTTTTTGTTAAAGACTTCTTGTGAGGTAGGACAACAACCACTTTTAGCCTGTAGGAAACTAAGAATACTTAAATATTGGTTAAAGCTGAAGGCTACAAATAATTGTATTTCAAATCCTTTTTTTTTTTTTTTTTTTGCTGAAAGGGTTACATCAGGTGACAGCTAGATAATGAATATTCAAGCAGAGCTTAACAAATTAGGATTAACTTATTTGTTGAACCCATATTGTAATGCAAAAAGGGTGTTCAGCTTATATAAACAAAGATTTTCATCTAGAGATAATTCTGATATTAGTAATAATTCTAGTTGTAAACAATATCAACATATTATTGATAATATTTCTGTACAACTGTACTACTTGTGTAAGCCAATAGAGGTAAGATAAGAAAAAAAAAATATATAGCCAGGTTTCGCTTGAACTCACACAATCTTAACATAGAACACAGAAGATATAGAAATCAGCAGAGAAAGCAAAGAATTTATACATTATGTAAAAAAATTATATTGAGGATAAATTTCGTTTTATTCTAAAGTGTAGTTTTTTTATAACAATCTTCCATGTACATATAAGCCATATTATTATAGAAGACCAAGTGTATTTAAATTCACCCAATTATTCAGGGTCTAAAATGTAACTGAATTGAGCAAACTAGGGAAATCCCTTTATCTAGCAACAAAACAACGCACTGAAACCATATAGCTATGTATCCTACAGTTTATACCATTATGTTTTTATGTATATATTTCTATGTTTCTCAATATTGTTTCTATTATCCTATCGGTTCTATCATTACCATCATGTCTAGGTACCAATGTATATGTAGGTGATATCTTATTGCTAGATTACACTGTACATCAATACAATACGATGTGCTGCTCTAATACATTGCATGAAGGTAATAATGATAAAATATTATCATGCAAACCATTATATATAAGTCAGTAATTATAATGTAGAACACTATAAGTATATCATATTACAGTACAATTGTAGGGTTATATATATATTATATATAAGTCAGTAATTATAATGTAGAACACTATAAGTATATCATATTACAGTACAATTAGTAGGGTTATATATATATTATATATAAGTCAGTAATTATAATGTAGAACACTATAAGTATATCATATTACAGTACAATTATAGGGTTATTATGTGTGGTAATAACTTGTGATGTATTATAGTATTTTTTACAGTAAGAGTAACCAGTTTATTATATGTTGTTGCATTTATCTGAAATAGAACATTATGGCAATTACTGTCACACGAATCATTGTCTATTATTTTAATACAAATTATTGTCCATTTGTGTAATAGGAATCATTGTCTATTACTATAATACAAATTATTGCCCATTTGTGTAATATGAATCATTGTCTATTACTATAATACAAATTATTGTCCATTTGTGTAATAGGAATCATTGTCTATTACTATAATACAAATTATTGCCCATTTGTGTAATATGAATCATTGTCTATTACTATAATACAAATTATTGCCCATTTGTGTAATATGAATCATTGTCTATTACTATAATACAAATTATTGCCCATTTGTGTAATATGAATCATTGTCTATTACTATAATACAAATTATTGCCCATTTGTGTAATATGAATCATTGTCTATTACTATAATACAAATTATTGCCCATTTGTGTAATATGAATCATTGTCTATTACTATAATACAAATTATTGCCCATTTGTGTAATATGAATCATTGTCTATTACTATAATACAAATTATTGCCCATTTGTGTAATATGAATCATTGTCTATTACTATAATACAAATTATTGCCCATTTGTGTAATATGAATCATTGTCTATTACTATAATACAAATTATTGCCCATTTGTGTAATATGAATCATTGTCTATTACTATAAAACAAATTATTGCCCATTTGTGTAATATGAATCATTGTCTATTACTATAATACAAATTATTGCCCATTACTTTATAGGTTATTGTCCATTACATTATATTGAGGATAAATTTCGTTTTATTCTAAAGGACAAACAATCAATGGCACATATTATGCATCACTCCTTAGGCAGGTAAGTGAAAATATTAAACTGGAGTATTCTGGAAAAAAGAATACATGTATTCTTCCACAAGGACAATGCCGCTGTTCACAAGTCTGACTTTCATCTATTTCCAAAATAGAGAAAGGCTATTTCCGTTACCCACTGTTGGTCAGTTGATGACATCATACATGCTGTGGAAGACTTTCTGAACATCAAGAAAAGTACTTCTTTAAAAGTGGCATTGGGGCTCTAAACGTCGCTGGCAAAAGTGTATAGATACTGAAAAGGAATACCGGTATGTTTAAAGACAAGAGTTCCTTGGAACTGTATGTGTCACCTGCACAAAGTGTCATGGTCACCCAGAAATCGAACTGGATGTGCAACGATCAACCATAAAGTTGTAATACAAAATTTCATTTCTATAACTTGAAGCATAACCAAAGAAAGTCAAGAAAACAATATTCCCAAAGAATTTTCTAAGTTCAAAGGGGCATAACTCAGCCAAGAAGGACCACAGACAGCCAGGAATCAAACTTAATTTCTACTCTTGCAACAAGAAGCCATATACCAAAATTCATTTTGATTACTCAAAGCATAAGCCAAAAAAGTCTGCAAAACAATATTCCCTTGAAATTTTCTAAGTTGAAAGGGGCATAACTCTGCCAAAAAGGGTCTCAGACAGCCAGGAATTACACTTAATCTGTACCCTTACAACAAGAAGCCATATGCCAAATTTCATTCTGATAACTCAAAGCATTACTGAAAAAAGCCTGGAAAACTTTTGTACGGACGCTGATGCCTCCGCCGAAGATAACGACAGACAAAGTGATCCTTAAGTGTCCGCCAGCTCTGCAGGCGACACAAAAATGTGATATATCCACCAAACGTCAAACTCTTAGATATGAGGCTCACAACTTCTCAATCAGCCCTCATATCGAGGTCGTTTTTAATAATAAGCAAATTACACATTTTAGTGAAAATGTCAAGATTTTATTTTCCATTTATGAAAAATAATGCTGTACAATTTTGTGCAGAGTTATCATCCATATTTTTACAAATAATGACACCAACTTGTTATTTTTATGATAAGGCTAATTACTGACAAGTTACGTCCAGAACTACCTGTACAATATAAATTGATGGCATGCATACATGCATATTGTATTCCTGACTGTCACATCCATCTAGTATACTGCTTTTAGGTTGATCATAGAAAAAGTGTCATTTAGCCATCCAGAATAGCAGTTCAGACAGAAAGATCTGATGTTCCATCACAATAATCCTTCAGCATTTGTTGCATTTATTAGTTGTTCATTCAGTTTTCTTTATATCATCATTACAACACAAATCCTGTTAAGTCATTCCATTGATAATAAACTCATGTCATGAATCTGACCAACTCCTTTTGTTTTTAGCATCGATGAAATCTGAAAACCATTTTGGTCTAGGTTTGTCCATTTGTACAATAAATTTATCATGTAATTTTTCCCGTTCTTCTTCTTCCCCTTCATATATTACCGCCAATTCTGAATGTGGTGAATCATACTCAAGATGGTCGCCGATTTTTTTCATCATTTCTTGGGTCTCCTTTCGTACCATGTCGTAGCAAGTACCTGCAATAATAAGATATCAAATGAAAATCATTTAATACACCACAATGATGACACTTCGTTACAATCTACTGGCAAATAATAACAGTGCAAAAGAAAACAAATGTAACAAAAAGTCAAAAGGGACAGCAGTGTGTAACACTTATTTACCCATACTTGTAAACTGTATAATTTTCAGACTTAATCTTCATAGATTCCAGCGAAAACTTAAAAAATTCAAACTAGACTTAAAAAAAATTAAAGACCCACTAGTATGCTGATCAAAGAGAAAGAGACAGATATTAGTGTCCATCAGATTGAATTTCCTTGGTTCTATGCATTTTTCATCTTGATCATGATGTTAATGAATAAAGATAACTTGATATACATTTTTGGGGTCAATGATTTCTGAAATAAGAACGTGTCTACTTGCTTCAAGATTGCTTTGAGTTAAACTAGTGAAAAGATTTTAATCTGAATTGAACAAAATTAGAAACTTTCTTTATCCTTTAATTTCACGTCTATAGATTTGATGAGACAAGTCAGATTAACATCTTTTGAGTGCAAATCCTACTTTGAATGTCCTTATTTTTCAGAGGCAATAATTTCACTTTTTCACTATCCAAATGTAATTCTAACCAAGCTTTGATCAACTGGGGCAGCATTCAAAATTAAAATTTCATTTGCATAAGAATTATATACCTACATATGAATAAAGAAAATAAATTTCTCACCACATATTGTGTTTCTTTTGTGGAAACCCCCACAATGTAAACAAGATACTATATCTGTTTGGATATTTTGCCGCTTATTTAAATATGTGAATCCAAATCGACGAGTTTGTCTTCTTTCTCTTGACCTGCGAGACCTCTGAGTTTGATGAGAACTCCACATTATTCCACTTCCATTAAGTAATTCTCTGAGGCATGATGAACTATCTGGTGGTAATATGTCAGTCTCCACTGGATTAACAGAACTCCCAACCAGAGCCGGCAAAAATTCTGATAAAAGGGGAAAAAATTATATCAAAAAATGGCACTGCATCATATATAAGTTTACTTCAACATTATCTTAACCTTAAAAAAACCTGTCAACTTAAAAAGAATAATATACAATACATGTAATACAACAGTTACCTTTTGACTTGACAACTGATAACACACCAATTTCTTCAACTTCCTGTAAGTATCATAAATTTCTCTCATTGAGATCCAACACCAAATATGGTTGGTGTAGATATGCATCTGTTATCAATTATAAATAGTGCTGTATTACCAGAGTACATTTTATCAATTAATTTGCTACTACAGATGTACATAGTTGTATTTATACACCATGACACTTTTATTCATTCAAACCAAATGACTGAAAATGATTCTTGACCTTACACATACAGTAGTTATAGATCCTTAAACATGTACTAGTAACATTGATAGCTCATCACAAAGGTGAAACGGAGTCAGATGACACCAAATGAGACTGTAATAGTTGCATTGCTATTCTGTAAATGAGATCAAATTTAATTAAAATCATATGGGAGGACAAGTCCTTGGAATATTAGTACAGCACCGTTAGGTGATTTAAGCTTTTTAAAATGAATTGGTCACTCCAGACCATTTTGACCTTGCCATTTCGCACACAAACTGCCTCAGGGTCCCTTCCTTTAAGATTTTAATCCATATCCTCTACTTAAAGGTACATAAAATCCTAGGAAAAAAAGATGATCTTACCTGTTATTGTTACATTTAAAGGAAAAAAAAAATTGATTCTTTCAAAAAAGGAATTTCTAATAGTTACACACTAAGACCTTTCTAAATGTATATCTAGTCCTCCCTGGAAACATCTGTATCAAAATGTTTGTAATTTTAGCTTCTTTAATAATGGAGACTATACAAGGTAGCTCAAAATTGCATACTCTCCAATCTTTCTCTATATTTGATTTTCTAGTAATAAGGAGATTTTACTCCTCTAGTGTGTCCCAACTGTAAATGTGTAGAAGTAAAAAGTACATGTCACTTTATTTACCAACCTTAGCTATTGCAAAGTTTTCTTGTAGTCAATGGCGTGACTTTGAAAAAACAAAGGGGTTGCTGGCTGGGACTGCAACATGGACAGCGATTTTTTATTAGTACCTACTACAGATTTTGTGCCAATGAACACTCCAAGGGTAGAGGGATGAAAAAAAGTAAGATGCTTCCTTGTACAGGTGGGAGTAGTGATATACCGGCATAATAGAGAACAGAAAGTAAACGTTACCTTACTTGTCTCTACCTAGAAGTAGTGGTACGAACATTGATGTTAACCATAGAGAAGAGAAAGTTGCTCATCATCCTTGATACTCCAGGGTTACAATCACTTTCCCTCCCTACACCCTTACAACATGTCATAGTGAAATTGAAGGCACAAACAAAGTAAGTTTATTGGTACCAGGAGGAAAACCTGACCAATCACAGACTGATATCCTCCTTTTGAAGATTACAAACTATGGACACTTAACTTACAAGCTATTACAATATACTGTTATGCAACTTCAAAATTTTTTTGATGTACAACAAAGGATCAAACTAGTTTTTTCATCTTGTCCACAAGGTTAGCACATAGAACTTTCCAATTTGCCATGACATGTTCCAGAGGTGCGGAGAGCAAAAGTGATTGTAAACCATGGAGTGTTGAGGATGGTTGCTAATACAGAATCAGTAGGAGCGTGACATTGTTTAGTACCCGTTTCTATAACAGGACACATTGTAATGAAATCATTCAAAGTGTAATACTTTACAATATTGAAAAAGAGTTTTTAAGAATATTTGAAATTTAGTTGATTTTTTCTGTTCTTGAGAAATGAATTACTTATTATAATCCTAGATTGAGCTTTGGGATCCTGGCCGGGACAGGGTATGACATATGCCTGTGATTGACAGCATAAAAGAAAACACAGAAGTTACGCCTAGGAAATGATTGCTGTGATGTAAATGTAGAAATTCTACAATGTACAAGACATGACAACATCAAAGGACACATCGTATGGACAAGGTCATGGTCATCTATACTATCACAAGCATAGATTTTGCGATTTCAACATAGTAACTGAGGAACCTATTAGAGAGAAGAGTGTATTTCAACCTATATTTCCTCATTCATCAGGTTATAACTTGGTTTATACCCGGTCAATCTCATTCACAAAACAATCAATGAAAAGATAAAACTTTTCTCTTCGTGGTAACGTACATATTACTAAAATCTGCGGCCCCTAGAATATATAAAACTAATAAGCGAAAAAAAAGGTTAGGTTTTTCCTTCTCGGAAATTACACCTCTTGTCACTATAATACATACGAGGTACATATAGACCGTGGGTCGGGAATTTGTGCCAACTCCCCGTGACTTTACCCCATTGACTCTGAATGACGTATGGTAAGTCTCCCGTATGTTGTTCAGTGTGGTACCCATTAGCTTCTAAAACGATACCCTTGTTTTATAAACGAAAACGACTGTTAAGAGGGCAAATGACCATGCAAACAAAACAAGAAATATTCTGTAAGCTTACTTTTCCCCAACCCAAGTAGAGAATCGAACTTCGTCTACAAATCTTTCAAAGACACTGGCGCATTTAATTTATAATCACTAATTGGATAACCATATAAACTATCATGAAAATAAGTGAAAATATGCCTCACGATTTTGTGCGCCTGTCAGTCTCAGAAATAACGAGTCTAATTGCTTCCAAGCCCTCTGAAGCCGCTGCATAATACTCGTGTTGGTAGCCATCTTGTTTCCGCTGATATGTAGGATATGTTACACGATAGTTAATTGGTTGTCTACATTAAGCTGGGCTGTATTGGCCAATCATTTTTGTCGTTACTTCATATTCACTATCACCGGCGAATCCAACATGTCTGAAAGATACAGCTTTTCTCTCACTACTTTCAGGTAAATTGTACAATTATAACAGAATTCATACATTGTTAAATTTACAACTTTCGTGATTCACCGAAAAGAATAATTTGGAAATAGATAAGTAGCGATTCACGCAATAACTGTTTATCAAAAATTAAGAAAAAGAAGTTGATTATTCGAGTGACTTGCAATTTTGAAGCAATTGCCGAGAATTGGCCATTTCCAAGAGGCACTATGATTATCACATTTTAGTTTTGATAAATCCAGATCTATTTTCATTATATTTAGGAAATGTCATTGTTCAAATAGGCGTTGTAGTAGATGTCAGTAATTTAATGTATTGTCATCTATTTGGATCAATATGACTATGAGACAACAGTACATCTCTCTTAAAAGATAAAACGGCAGCATTTGACCATTGTCTAAGTATTATTCATCAGGTATTTATGGTGCAATCAATCATTTAAAAAGATGACTGAAATGATCTACACTGGAGTATTGTTGAACAAATTAGTCATCACACAACAATGTACAACTGTTTCCCGTCTTTTTACAATTTGATTTGTGCTAATCTCATGTATACATAACCCAACTATATAATTGCTTGTACTATGTATTGAAGTGATAGCATCATATTCATTTACAGCCCCTCAGGGAAACTTGTACAGATTGAGTATGCCTTAGCAGCTGTGGCAGCAGGTGCTCCCTCTGTCGGAATAAAAGGTAAAAAAAAGAGAAGCTGTAGGAGTCTACAGCAAAGCATATTTGTTTCAGGTAGCGAATAATATTCAGAATATTATTGCAACATCAAGATAACAAATTTGTTTGCACTACTGAAACATAGATTTTAAAACTTATTTTTGATATATGCTACCAAAAATGATATTTCTATCTTTTTGCATACCTTTCAAGCAATATTTTTCTATAAGAAAGGTGTGTTTTATCAAACATAAATTACAAATTCTTCTTGTCTTTTTCCACATTAGTTCAACTGTAATTGATTATATGTTGCAGCTACCAATGGAGTTGTGCTGGCTACAGAGAAGAAACAGAAATCCATATTGTATGATGAGAATAGCATACACAAGATAGAAATGATAACAAAGAATGTCGGCATGGTATACAGTGGGATGGGACCAGATTATAGGTGAAACTTTATACATGCAAAATCTGATTAATAGCTCTTCCTTTGCTATTGCAGAGGAGTTATTCCCCTTCTTGTCTATAGACCACAAGATGTAGTGGTCGGCGGAAGATGTTTCTGAAATAAATCTATTGGTGATCTATGAGAGAACCTTAATGCAGTAAATGGATGAAGTTGAATGACTTCAAATAAAACTAAAAGAAATTCATGGTCTAATATATACTTGTCACTTCATTGTTTTGCTTGATACTTTGATCATTCATAAGGGACCATTGTGTTTAAATTTTCAAAAGCAGACACCCATAATAGTATACATACTGTGATACAAACAAGATATAATAATTTAGCAACAGTAACACCGAGTTGTCCAGATGACAAGTCTAAGTCATGATGACCATCTTTTAAAAAGAATTACAAACTCAAATAGATATTACATCTATTATTTGTTGCTCATCATTTCAGTGATATAAACTGATTATATTTTCAATTGTTTGAATTTTGATAAAAGATTTGTGTGAACATCTAGTGTGAACCTTCAATGATTGTTAAGTGATTAAAATTATGGAATTAATCATTGTCTGGCACCCATTAAAAGAGAGAATGGGGATATTCATAGGTAAAAAATAGTCAAATTGGCTGAATTTTAAGGAAATAATTCAAATTTGATCTGAACTTACATTCAGGTGTATCATTGGATTAATGCTGTTTGACAGTATAAAAAATTACCTGAACAATCATGTTAGATGTACAATTTATTTTGACATTTTCCTTTTCTGCTTTAGGAAATGATATTTTGTTTTACATTTAAAGGTTTATAGTCATAGGAAAAAAGCAATTTGCTTGCATTTTATTTAGTATTAGACCAAAAACTGCTGTTAGTATTCTCAGATATTGTGAATTTTGGGAGTCATCAATATGACAACGCATGAGTAACACATCTTTATTCTATAATTGGAAACTATCAGAATGAACTGCTGAATCCAATATCCAGACAATATTATCATGAATTGATGATTACTACAATGTTTACACTGCAGCACATGTATAGTATGATTTCCCAACACCTTCTTATCCTTGCAAAAACTTTGATAAAATGAATATTTAATTTCTAGGTTGATACTTATTTAACAATGTGATTCTGTTTTGATTACAGGGTATTGGTAAAAAATGCTCGTAAATTAGCACAGCAATACTACTTGCTTTACCAAGAACACATTCCTACAGCACAGATTGTACAAAGGGTTGCAAATGTTATGCAAGAATACACACAATCAGGGTAAGAAGTTAAGACAAATATATGAAGCAAAACAAATTAGCTCTGTACATACTGAAAGTGGCTGGTATTTGCTTACTGCTAAAAAGTCATTGTCATCTCAAAGAATTGGCTGTTGCAAATGTACATGAAACTCTATTACTAATATACTTATAATATACTGTTATAAACTGCAGACTACTGATACTGCATGTGGTAACATTAGATGGTAAACAAAGATACTGTTCCTGAGGTGTCAATGCAAAAAGCAGTTTTGATAAAAAGAAAATGCTCTTTAAAGATAAAGACTTCTATATAAAATTCTGTGTAGAAAGTTTTTTCTTGCAGTTGAGATAAGATGTTGTAATTAGTGTTTATGTACTGTGTTTTGATATTAGAGGTGTGCGACCGTTTGGTGTATCCCTCCTACTGGCTGGATGGGATGAGGATGAGGAAACACCATACCTCTACCAGTGTGATCCCTCTGTAAGTACCAAAGTTAACCACAGACAATTTAAGCTTTCTGCTACTCTAGGGTTTATGACTACTTTTGCTCTCTGCACCCCTGGATTGTGTCATGGCAAAACTTAAGCCCCAAACTAAGTAATTTGATTGGTACTACGAGTAACAAACTGACCAATTACAAGCTGATATGCTCCTTTTAATGTGTACAAGTCACTTTTTCTCTTTGAGCCTTGGTCCACTTGTAAATCACTCTCTCTTTTTGTCCTTAGTTATATATATAGTTTAACCTAACGGGTTGACAGATATAAACTTTATTGATAATTTCTGAATTTTTTAGTACAATTTTCTTAAATTCCATTTGGGTTCCTTTTGATCTTGCTCTTAGTTAAAGAGCAAAATGATGGCTTTTTTCTCAAAGTTTTATATACTGTTATATTCCCAGTGGCTTTTAGTTGATTGCAAATTTTTATTGCATTTTTTTTATGTTAAGATTTATTGGCAGATCAAAGAAAATTATGGCAGACAAATATCAGAAATCTTTTATAAAACTTTGGTAAGATTTTGGTTCGGATAGAAGTAGGGCTTTCATGAGTTATCAAGACATTTTCTAATTGTTATTCGTGTGTATTATCATTGCTTCCATCCACATATTTGTTATTCCTGGTACTGTTTTATTGCAGGGAGCATATTTTGCTTGGAAAGCTACTGCCATTGGAAAGAATCATGTGAATGGAAAGACATTTTTAGAGAAAAGGTAAATTATCTCATCCAATGTCCTTAATGTTTTAAGGATTTAATTAGTAGAGGAGGTAAGAGGTAGCCTGTAACGGCAGAAGAATGTAAAGGGTCTGCCTTCAGTTTGATTTTCTTAATATGTAAGCTTCAAAAGACATATCAACATTGTGGTTGGTCTTGAGATCATATTGTCAGAAACTGATCAAGTTGCAGTTGTAAATTTTCAAAATGAGGCAGCATTGCAATTGATTGTTCTTGTCATCCTCTTGAATGAAAATACACAGAAGCGTTTGTTGATGAAGAGGCACTAGAGAAATCGCAGTAATAATCTAATTGATGCTCTTATCAAAGTTATGCCTTTTTCTGATAATTGAGCAACAGATGGCTGTAAAAAATATTATAACATCAATGTTTATTGTGTTCCTATATAAATGCAATAGAATCATGTCAATTATACATCTGGGAAGGTGTACTATTAGAATTGCAATTCACAATTGAAATCTTTGGTGTTTTATGGCTTAAAATCCCCAACACCCATCCACCCCCAACCCAATCTTTTTGATTTTACTATGTCACATTTTTATTCCATTATTTTATCCCATTAAATGTGAATTAATCTATTTCAATGGATAGTTCAGAAATTCTTTTAATTTTCTTCACCAAGGAGATCTATTACCTTGTACTTAGACCATATTAAACATAATCTGTATCTTCTCCTGAATGTAGATTTTATCTCTATTTGGAAGGAATCATTAGTTGTCCATAACCAGTTGTATGCATGCATTTCTTTTTTTAATTCTTTAGCAACAATATGTTAATATATATTTGTTTGATAACTCATCTGTTGTACAAATCAAACACAGTGATTATGATGTATATTATAATCATGTGTTTTAGTTCACCTGGCCTGATGGGCTAATGCCATGATGCATCATCTGTTGTCTGTCTGTTGTGTGTCTGGCATCTATCTGTCCATCAACATCTTCTCACTAACAAACAGACCAGATGTCATGGTATTTGACTTATAGATTCCTAGAAGGAAGCCTTACAAAAAAATAACCTTGACCCATGTTCAAGGTCACAGGGGTCAAATTTGTAAGACCTTTGAATAACTTCTTCTGATGAACCAAGATGAGTCAGATTTCTTGAAATCTCAAAACAACTTCCATTGAAAACCAGAAGACTAATTAGCATGGTATTTGGTTCCTAGGAACAGAAGGATGATATTTGGCTCATAGACTCCTAGGATGAAGCCTGATAAAGTTTGCGAAAGAAATGACCCTTATTCAAGGTCACAGAGGATGCTTTTTTTTTTAAAAATCTTTTGAATGACTTCTTCTGACCAATCCAGAAGTCCCAGAAGCATGCTATTTGGCAAATAGATTCCTAGGCTGAAGCCTGACAATGTTTGCAGAAAAATGACCTTAACTCATATTCATGGTCACAAAGTCAAATTTGTTTAAACATTTAAACAACTACTTCTGACTAACCAAAATGCACAAAAGCCTGATGTTTGGCTTGTAGGTATCTGGGATGAAGCCTGACAAAGTTTGCGAAAAATGAATTACCTTGAACCATATTCAAGGTCACAGGGGTCAAAATTAAAACCAATGACAGGCTTTTTCTGGTGAAGCGAAAGTCCAAAAAGCAAGATATTTGGTGGAAAGGTGTTTCTAAGTCAAAGCCTGACAAATTTCAAGAAAAAAAAAGAAGTGACACTTACCAATAATCCAGATCATAACTATCGCAGTTTAGAGTTGAGTATTAGAAGCTGTTTGTTGTGGAAATTGGTTAAAATTGATTAGGTGTGCCTACTTTGAATGCTAATGGTGTAGGGTAATGTTTTCATGATGTCAACAACTCCATTTTCGATTAACATGAAATACAATGTGAGCAATGAAGGCCAGTGGATCTCTTGTTCAAATTAAACACACTGACTGTGATGTATTGCATAACTCATGTGTTTTACAAATTAAACACACTGATCATGATGTATTGCATAACTCATATGTTTTTAAGATTAAACACATTTATCAAGTATTTTAATTTCACCTTTAGGTACAGTGATAATCTTGAGTTAGAAGATGCCGTCCATACAGCTATTTTGACCTTGAAAGAAAGTTTTGAAGGACAAATGACGGAAGATAATATTGAGATCGGAATCTGTAATCAGGATGGCTTTAAAAGATTATCACCAGCAGAGGTCAAAGACTATTTAGCTTCTGTACAGTGATAGACTTGAATTTTCAGGATGGTACTTCGTCTACTGTGCTATTTCTTATTGACATGTTGTTCGTTGTATTTACGAATATGCTGACTGACAAACTCTACATGTAAAGTATAAAGATTTGTACTTTTATCAGAAAATATGTATTTTTCCATCCACATTTGAAATGCTATACTAAATTTTGGAATGAGTTAACTTCTAACTATGTATCGACTTAACAAATCAAGGTCAGACTCGACACAATTTGTGATAGATCTAGATCATTTGAAATATCATATCTATTAATGGTCTTCAGTTTTGCAGAATGTGTGTCATTGTATCCTTTTGACAAGTGACAAGTTAAAACATAAACAAGGACTTTTCTAAGTTGTCATAATGTTGCTGCAATTACAATTCAACAGAAATAGTGCTAATGTTGTGAAAAATAAAATTGTATTCAGAGTAGAATTCATATTGAAATATTCTGCAATGATTTAAAGATTGAAGTTGTACATTTGGATTGCATTTTATGAAAAAAAAATGAGATATAGGAATATCATTGTCATACATTTCATTAAAATATGACTAAACGATCATACATATATATGTGTTATGCTTTGTATTCATACCACTACCTTTGGGCCAGGTGAGCTATTGGAATACCCTGGCATCTATCATCCGTCTGTCCAATTTTGGGGAAAATTTTGTATAAACAATGGGGTGGGAGGGCGAGCTTAATAGAAGAAATAGAGCAATTTATTTAGAATCCTACTCTTGATATAGGAATGATTGGATTTTGCCCAAATTTGGTCTGAAGCATTGTTTAGGGTAAGGGAATCATTTATGTATAAAGAATGGGTCTCAGCCCCCTGAGGCAAGAGGGATAGGGGCAGAAAGGGGTAAAGAGCAAATTCTTTAAAATCCTACTCCTTTAGGAATGACTGGATTTTGGCCAAATTTAGTCTCAACTATTCTTGGGTGAAGGGAAATCAGTTCTGTATCAACATTGCATCCATGCCCCCTTTAATGGGAGAGAAGGGGCCAAATTGGGGAAGTGTAAGTTCTTTAAAATCCTTCAATTCAAGGATATTATTTGTCAATAACCAGGTGAGTGATGCAGGCACCTTGGGCCTCTTCTTCATTTATGTGCTTTGATATTGTACTATGTAGTGTGTTTTTGGTTTTTCTATTTGTTCCTAAAGTCCTGACAATAACTGATTATGCCAATAGTGCTGTTAGCTTAATGTTCTCAACAATGTTACAGGTACAGCTTTGATTTTTTGCTGTTAAACATGCACAAGATCTTTTTGTAGTAGGGTAACTACTGTCATGATGAACTGTACAGGCGTGAAACATTTTACTAAATTATACCATTATGTTTAAGCAGACAAAATTCTATTCAGAATTCACATGATAGCCCAGCACACAATGTAATTTTTTAGCAAATTTGTTTTAGTAATTATCAAAACTTTAAGCAGCAATTTTTGATGTATTGATATACAGTGAAACATCTCTATTAAGAGCATCTTCGGCACTGGAACAAGCAGACAGTCTTCCCTTACGATATTTTTTGTCCATATTTTCACAGTCATTAAATTATGATATTAATATTATTACATGAAACACAGCAATAATATCTGAATAGCCAGTTTTACAGCCAAGTGATCAGACATTTGACAGATGTACACAGTAGAAAACAAACCAGGTCACTGCAAGTTTTTAGAGGTTAAATTCAATGCAAAACAGGTTTTTGGGACTTTTAAAAATTGATCCTCATTGCATGTAATAGTGATAACCATACACAGACATTTAGATGAATTTATTGGGACTGAAACGAAGTGGTCTTAATTATGAGGTTTCACTGTGCTGTGAAGCATTTGTCATAAACATCAAAGGCTGTTATTGTTTTCCTCAAAACCCCTACAAGTATGTACAAATTACTCATTCATTCATCATGGAACCATTTAATTTGCAGATGTGATGGTTTAGGAACACATGATAGTAGAGTGTATATTGTTTGGCTAGTTACATCATTTTATTAAATTGCAAATTTTTGACTCCATCCAAGATGGACCTCGTCGAGCAATGTTTTGGTCAGCTCCAAAATATCATGGGCACAACTAGGGACTGTTAAGAACCTACATGTTTTGGGAAAGCTCCATCCAGTACTTCTCCAGAAATAGTGATAACAAACTATGATGGTCAAAAATTTGAGTGCTGCATGTCAGTCATTTTGTTTTCCTGATGCAATGAGGGACTGAGGGGAATCTATACAAGCTAGAGAAATATCCTTCCCATTATTCACAAGAAATGATGCTAACTTCAACTGTCTGTTTTTATGATCAGTCTCAAAATTGAATGGGCTCAAATAGGGATTATTGCTTTGTGGGAAATAACAGTAACAAACTAATACTGCCTACAACCTGCCTACTGGCCATCTCGATCTTTAGATCAGTCCCAAAAAAGACTGGACAGCTAGGGACCAAGAAAATACCATATATGAAATTCGAGAATGATCCATCAAAACTTTTCAAGAAATACATGGTAGTGTTAACAACTTAAGCTGTCTGCCATTTTATTTTCCAGTTGACTCCATATTGACCAGGCATTACTAGGATCTGAGGGAATAACCTACACATCAAGTTTCAGAAATATAACTTTTCATATATACTTCATAAGAAATAGCTTGAACAAACTTCAACTGTCTAAATCCAAGATTGTCACCTGTCAGCCATTTCATTTTCTTGATCGGTCTCAAAAATAAATGGGTAGAACTAAGGATCAAGGGTACCCTACATATGAATTTTGATAAATATCCTTTAGTTTTTCTCAAGAAATGGCTGTAGCAAGAATTATTTACGGATGTATGGCGATTTGAATACCCCACTATCTGAAGACCGTGGGCTAAAAATCACAGAAGTCATCAGTAATACAATGTTTAGTTTTATTCTTCAATGTGAAGAGATCAACTCAAAATGATTAGAACATTTAAATTTTGAACAAACAGAAATAGATGTACTGGTAATCTGTACAGCTCTACATAATATGTCCTATATCAGGTAATTTTATTCAAATTATTGCAAGAGAAATTAGTGGATTAAAATGTTACCAAGGCAATCTGTTGGTAATCAAACATCATATAATGACTATTAACTGATCCTAGCTTAATGTTCAAAATTTAAACTTGCGATTCTTGCTTAAATTTGAAAAAAAAATGAATGAATAAGATAAACCAGAGCAGAAAGGACCTCAAAACAGACATAAAACATGAATGTTTTAGGCAAGAAAGCTGAATGTTTGATTAAACAATCCTATCTGTCTCATATACAGCTATACATACATTCCTCTACCACTCCACGGTGGTTTCAAATGTCAGCTGTATTCTATTGATCTTTATCACTTTCCTAACTGTGCAAGATTCCCAAATCTACCAAGAATGAAGATCATGGTTGTAAGAAGAAACCCAGCATGTGTTCTACATCAGTGGGTTTTTAATACAATTGGCAAGTCATTGACTTTTGTTTTGCCTGAAAAAAGGTGAATATGTTTTTTCGTAGTCCTAAAATTTGAACAGCATCTTACCCAGAATTATGCATATGCTAATTTATGCACACAAAAAAATTGATAAATAATGCACCAAGATTATATAAAGCACTTAAGCAAACGTATGTATTTACAGTTAATTGTGCTGTAATATCATGAATAAAGCCATCTGACGACTTCCCAATCTTAATGCACACCTGTGTCTAATCAAACTTACAGGTATTAACACCAAAAAGATGATATCCAAGTATGATTTCACTGAAAAAGTTTGATGGCATATACATAAAAAAATTGTTGACCAAGCAAACAATAACTTAAATAACTGCAAATGATTTGAAGAAAATGGTATTGTATTTAAAATCTATAATCCACTTCAAATAACACACACTCCTCATGTGCTTTACCAAGGCTATTGAGTATAATGTTAAAATGTACCAGGAGTGCTAAAGGACTTACGTCAATAGTATCAGTATTATTGATTAAAAACTTGATATAGTTGCACACAGTACTCAACTGTTTCACCATATGACAGATCATGAGTAAACATTGGATCATAACTCGACCTTTTTAACAAGGCCAAGCTACTATCCGAAAATCATTTAAGTAAAGGTTTCAAAACGTCAGTGATTACAATGACTGATCATGAATTGACTGTGATATAATAACTTTAATTCCTACCTTGAAGAATGGTAGCATCATGATGAAATATCACACAGCAACATAATAAAGCAGAGATCAATTAGAATTGCTAGTATTGATTGCAAAATTAAGTAAGAATGGAATCTCTTGATGATTGTCACAATGATTATCATGTCAATGAAGACCTGACAAATCAAACAACAATATTTTCATAATGTTCACTGTTGACATGGCCTTTATCGTGACAGTCCTTTAGACAGATTTATAGCACACTGTAAATATACATATTTTAGTGATAATCAAGCAATTTTTGCTCTGATTATATTGCTCTAAACTTTGATTGCACCACTTGCAGTTTCTATAGTTGCTTTCATATACAATAACTGTGCAGGTGCAAATTCATCCTTTTGCCAATTTGGCAAAAAGGTGAAAATTTGCTAAAATTTGATTCTACCAAATCAAATAAGAGTTTTTGAGGTCTGCAAGAAATGTAACATCACAGCTAAATAACAAATAAACTGACTACTGTCAGAGACAGGAGGAATTATATTAATATGCACTTTCACAATTGTTTAGGGTCATAAAAAGGCCAGTCCAATTATGAAAGACTGAAACCATCTTAATGAAATGATATTTAAACTATGAAAGAATTATGTCCCACTGATGTATAAGTACATTACTTATTAAAAGTGATATGATAACAAACACATTCTGTATAAAGCAAGACATTGATACATACATAACATATACAACATCACAAACTGAATAACTTTTTATTACTTAGTCATGTGAAATGAAACAAAGCATCAGCATGAAAGAAGAAAAAATAAAGTATGCCTGTTGTGTTAACATCTTATCTGGAACTGCTTATAAAACTAACACACTTAACAAAAATTAATATCTGTTTGTTGAATGTTTTTCTGATAACTTCTTCAACAACTACAATAACTATTTGAATTAACCAAATTAGGAACACTATACACTTTCTCGAAGAGTAAGACAAATTTTTGAAAAGCTTAAGCTGGATAATAACTAAAAGTTTGATACAAGATTTGATAAAAAAAAGTGAAATCTTCACAGTTAACTAAACAAACATTTATATTTAATACATACATGTAATAAACATAAATTAATGTACAAAGCTTGTTATGCTCATAAATACTAAAATTTTAAGTAAAATCACAGATGGAGTTGAGGTATTTTGTATTATAAGGATTTAACGTGAATTCCAATATTCTTGTTCAAACTTGGAGAAATACTATTATACGACCTTGCTTTGCAACGTTCAATAGAAGAATTCAAAGAATGACATTAGCTTTAAGAACAGAGATGAATGTTTAACATTTCATTAATGAAGATAATGAATAAGCCCAAATATATGCATAAAAATGAAGTCAAATGTTGTGAGTGTTTTTTTTCTCTAAAAACAAGTACTACAAATGTTCTCTTTCAATTACACATATAAAAATTCGAATTGTAGCAAGCTTGAACTTCAAACCCTGCCCCCTGAAAAAAAGGATTTGTGTTCAATTTTTACAATACATCTGAGAAGGCAAGCAATATATTTGAACCAGTTGATTGGGTTTGTCAAAATATTTCAAGGTTTTCAAGAAATACGAGAAACCAGGGTATGCTAACAAAAAAAATATCAGATGGCAGTGAATGAATCTAAACGTAACCAAACCCAGGACTACCAAGAGTATATCTGTAACATTTTTATGTGAAATATGATTTCAATTTTTTTTTTGTTATAAATTCTAACTTTCCATATTTTGTCTAAGCTGCAGTCAGAGTAGGCTGTATCACCTTTGGTAATTGCACATCCATTTCATGGATGAAAAGAGGTTTATACATATATCAAATAACCTGAAATAACTTAAAGCTATGAAATTTTTCACATTTTTAAATCTTTAGCAGTATGAAATGATAAATGCACATATTGACATAATGTATTAAATCATTAATACATAAAAAAAAACATACAAACTACACACCTACATGTATACACCAATCTAACTCTCCCTATTAATCAGGCAACATATATGTATATGTAAACCAGTTATAGATGAAAAGGTGTTATTTTGTCACCAGATGACATTTACCTGTGAGGCAATGTATTACACAGCTTTGGTCTACATAATCTGTGGTGAAGATCTGAGGGAAAGTGTTCAACACTCCCTACCAGTAACATTTTGTGTTTCTCAGTTAAGAAATTGACACTTTACGCTAATTGCTCTGGATGACATACAACAAACCTCCAGTATGTTGTTCTGCAAGTCATCCACCAGCCACTACAAGGAGACCCCATCGCAAATGACTCTGGATGTTGATGGGGCGTAAAAACCCAGCAAACAAACAAAAATGTATAAAAGAATTTTGGTATGTACAATGTGCTTTAAATTTTATGTCTATTTACTTGCAACAAGATTGCACATTCTCCTGGTAGGTAACAACTTGAAAGTTTAAGTTCCAATGTGAATGCAATGATACAAACATCTTACTTATATATCATTATTTCTGCTACAACTAAGGAAATGGCACCTGAAAATACTATGAAGATATTGACATACATGTCCAGTACTCAGATAACAACAGATCTGTTTTTAAAAAAATCCCCAAATAACATCCACAATGCAGACTATCAATATTACCATACACTGAAATATTGGCAAACCACACTTAGACAGCTTCGTTTTTATTAAGAAAAAACACCAAATGACAAAAAAAAAAAAAAAAAAACAAGAGGAAACAGCTTACACATATCCTGTTGTTTATCATCAATTGAATCTCTCATTAAAAGGGGAACTATTTTTTCACAACTTGTACATTTTCACTAAAAAAAAAAAAAAAAACTAAACAATGTATATATAAACATCATTTAGTGTATTTGAAATACACCAGTTCATTCTTTCATTCACAAAACATATAATGCTGACATCACAACAAAGGTCAATGTTCCAAAGGCATTTTAAACTTGGCCTTAGAAAGATTTTTAAGCTTGAGCTTATCCAACCTTTTTTTATTTTTCCCACCAATGGAAGTGAATTCTACGTTTATTTTACGTCCAGCTAAGGTGGTTTGATGAAGGCGAAGAGCAATCTGAAAAAGCAAATGCATATTTAAATGTCTGAAATTCAGCTGAAGACCATATTCATCATAGTTTCAATAGACACTAAAAAATTTGACATAATTTATTACATTTGTATTTAAAGGGATATAAAATTCAAGTAAGAAATTTAAAACAATGCATTACAAACAATACAACTGCCCTCATGTCCATGGTTCCACCTTAACTTGAATACAATTAAAATGATAGCCAATTGACTGAAGTTTGATTAAAATCCTCTAGGAATGATGAGCCACTATAGGACAAAGATTATCTTAAAATAGTAATGATCACCTTAACCCTACTACCCAAAGGAATTCATCTAATATGATAATCCTCTACATGAATGTGAAGTTTCACTGAACTCCCTCCAGAAATGAAGCCACTACAGTGCTGATAAAACTTAAACAGTAATGATGAACTTGTCACTACAACCTTGAAACAAACTTGTATGTTATTTGTGTTCTTCATATGAAGATGAAGTTTGATCAAAGTATCTCTTAAGAAATGAAAAATGCTGACAAGAACGTTTAAAATAATTACAGTAAACTTGACTTAGATGTAACAATTATGAAATTCTAACTGATCTTACATATAAAATATGTAATGGTTCTAAAAAAGCAAGTGATAACTAATTGAACACTCCTAAAGAAATAATGTCACCGGCTAGAATTTCAGGGCTTTTCTGAAAATAGCATGGTAACCTTGACCCTGACCTAACAACCCTGAAACTCACACTTGTCTGGAATATCACTGTCATCCATAAATACCTGAATTTTTATCAAAATTCCTCAAGAAATAAGGCTGCTCGCAAGCGGAGTCAAGAACTTTCTAAAAGTAGTAACAGTGACCTTGACCCTTAAACCTTGAATTCGAATTTGTCAATTGTGTGAAGTTTTCTTGAAATCCCTCAAGAAAGGAAACTGTAAGTGCTAAAAAGTATAGTAGCAATAGTAACAGTGACCTTTTACCTTGACCCTAAAGCCCTGAAACAAAAGAGGAAAAATTCTGTGACATATAGTTCACAAAAGCGTTTTCCCAATTTCTTACACATAAAGTATGTACCTACCCCATGACTGATTCTGTCTTTGAATTCTATATAAGCAAATCCTCTGGCTCTGTCTGTTCCCTTTTCCTTTGGAATCCGGATCAATTTTACACCACCTACATTTTAAAGACAATAGTAAACAATCAGTATTATCACTGCTTTTTATTGATCTCACACATTCCACACATACTGACACTGATATTAATCTTTGTTACAAGCTCCAGTTTCACCAATTTACTTCGTAATTTTCTTTTGTTTAATGTGAAATTAGACTTTAATTTCATTTTTGACCCATCTCATTAAAACTTTGGTATGTATAATATCACACCATTTCCCAAGTGTTATTAATTCTGATTTTTTTTAAGTTAACTGTCCTTTCTTCTTTTCAGTTCTTCCTGTCTGTAGATTCTCTCCCTCTGTTTTCAACCAATATCTTCCAATCTGGTAGACTTTGTCATGACATTATTCAAAATAGTACATAATTAAGGCATTGAGTCTGAGTGGAATGATAACTTGTAGAAGTTATTATCAACTGTAATGAAGAACCTTTATAGACTTCCTTCATCACTCATCTTACCTGTTTTCCTGAAATGTTCTTCTAACTGTTCCTTTGAAATGTTGAAAGGAAGATTTCCGACACAGAGCACATATGCCTTGGGCATGTGTTTGGATGATGTTTGTTCACCAGCTATATGTACATTTGGTAACACATCTTTCACCTCTTCTTTGACCTTCACCTTGTTATTCTTTTTCTTAGAATTTTCTGAGTTAGATTTCACAGTTTTGAAATTAAGTTTGGTTTGTGATTTCATCTCTACTTTCATCTTCCCTGGCACTACTGCCTGTGCTAGTGCGTTCCTTGTTGCTACACTAGCTTTGAAGCCACCTTTGTTATTCTGTTCCACTAAGGATGAAACATTGTCTTGAAACTTATTTTCTGGCATCAACTTTCTCAAACCTGCGAAAGAAATGCACCTTGTTAGTATTTACACATTTTGAAAATATTCTACTTTAGTATGATTTTCATGTCCCAATCAGAATATTTTAGAAATTTCCTAACATTGAAAATTTGTGGTATGTCTCTCAATATCAGTAGTACGGGAGCCACACTTCCTTTTTGATATATAATTTAACTTCATAGATCAAAAGACACACAAGTCATTGCAAAACAAAATACTCTTCATTTATCATTCACTTATTGGGTTCAACATCTCTGGCTAGAGCTTCATCTGATGAACATGTCAGATCAACGATTAGTTTCAATTAATAAGGCTGGTTAAAATATAAATGCTTTAGGTTTTACACACACTCTTATTTCTCTTCAAAGCTTGAGAAGAAATACTATCAAAATACTGTACAATGACATTCCGAGCCTAGATCTGAGAATTCTCATCTTCACTTGACCTTCACTCCCAGGATTTGTGTAGCCAGTAGTGACGTCTTTGGTCACACTATTGTTCACGATGCTATTTTTATGATGTGTTAGTCAAGATCAGATGCAATTGAGAAATCAGTTGACTGCATTTTCCTAGAATACTGCCACAAATTTTCATTGACCAATCAAATGCTGTATTATATCTTGTCAAAATGAAATTTTAACCATATTTTTCCAAACAGAAGTGTACCTCATCTGTTCATAAAGAATTTTGGGAAATAAATTAAAAAACATTCTTTTGCTTAATGTTCCAATACAATGTTGTGACAGTTCCCCATTGAAAGAGCCAGAAACTTTGTTAAATATTGAATTAAAGAAAAAAACTACTGTTAATTATATAAACAATATTTTGCTGAATTTGAACTGAAGATGTCGGTATCATTTGGAAAAGACCAAAGGATATACTAGAATAGTTCTTTGAATCCAACAAGCTAAAAGTTATTATTTCGTGGTGTACAGAAAAATTATTACAATTTTTATTGCGGGTTTTATGAATGTATGTATACATGAATAATAAAATTGCATAGTAATTACCTTCTCGTTTCTCTTCACGACTCTTGTTTTTATGTACAGCCCACCAATCCTGCCGTCTGTTTGTCTTAGATACGTTTGAAGGATTATGACTCTGTAAATAAATGTCATATGTATAGCATGCCAAATTTCATTTTTTAATCATTACCATAACTGTACTAGAATCACTTAACAAATAAAAAGATATCAATTGTTCTATAACCTGTTCTCGAGTGACTTAATTTGTCTGAATCATATGGCTATATTTCCAAACTTGTACAAATAATAAACATAGATGAGTAACAAGCTTATGATAGTATACTTTTTTCAAAAAATCTATATTGGAAAAGCAATTTACATGCATGCACAAACTGCACATGCATTACAATGAGCAAAGATTTATACACACTGACAGATACTGAAAATTATTTCTAATAGATGGTTTCATCAATGGCAATGGTCATAATTTTTCATGTTGGTACATTGCCTACTTATTAGATGCTCCATTATTTTACAGGGATGATATTTTGGAAAGCAATGACATTTGATGGCCAACAAATGGGCTTTTACATGATGTGAACAGCCTTGGATTCTGGATGCATTTGAACTTCAAAATGTATTTCTGTTACAAAGGATTTTGCTTCCCTGAACTAATCGTTATGTCAATAAATTATATATTTTTTTCTTTCTTTTAATAACCATACAGACAATATTTTTGTGTTGATAATTGAAGCTTTAAAAATAAATATCTGTCTGTGAATATAAGAATGCCATTTTTTTCCAATTTACTTTTTATTATAAAAGCTTTATTACTTGTCGGTATAAAATATCCGTTTAGAGGAGTGTATAAAATTCTCCTTAATGTTTTTGTGATGTATTCTAAATGAGGACTGATCAAGTCATCTTGATACCAGATTCTAATGTTAAACAATAAATAAAAAATGCATTTGGTACATTTTTCAAACACATCCTCTTTCTATCTGTCTAAATTTTGGAAGGAACGTCTTGATAATTCAATCACCAATCTTTGAATTTTTATTTCACACAATAAATGTTGCAAAGACTTCAACTAATTCAAACACTGTTTTAAAATCAATATTTTTATCCATCTTTATCAAGAATAAAATTACACAACAATGAAACTATCATTATCCCATTTGTATTTTGTTTCAAAACAAGAAAAACATTTTTGTTTTTGTTTTGTTGAATTGAGATTCCAAAAAGCGAAGATTTGAAAAAAAATCGATAGGGACCAAAAGGGGGCCTGACGGGGTACATTCAGGAGTCAAGACACAATACAAGTGAAAAGTCATAGAAAGTATTTAAACATTATTTGTATTGTAACAATTTCAACATAAAACAACTGAAAATATGTTTCTTGTGTTGTAAGAACGTAGTAATCTTTTCTCCTCTTAATACATCTTTCTATAAAAAGCACAACCCCATTTGTGCCCCATACATATTTTTTGACTGGGTGGTATACGTGTGAAAGCACCTGCCCTTGCATGGCGGCGACTCGATGAAGCAAGACTTTAGCAAATTAATGCCAACCAAAAGATGGAAATCAAGGTAGAAGTTCTAAATACACACAAACATAAAATTACTGTCATCTTCGTTCGTTATTTTTGTACGCAAGCAAACGGCATTTTCCCTTGAGTTGAAACCGAGTTCGAAAATCCAGTTTTACAACATGAAATCAGTGCGGATTCTGAAAATTACTTCAATATCCTGATTAAGAATACCAAAATCACCAGGATTATGTTATAAATACAGTATTATTATCATGTAATCATTTGATTCCCGAAAAAAATATCACTTACGCTCCCAGCTGGTTTATCCATTGCGCTTTGTGTGCTTCTCTGTACACCATTCGGAACACTGCGGATTCGATCATCACATGGATGGCAAATCTAGAGAGCTGCAACAGTGTAACGCCACCTACTGAGATCAGCCATGCATGTAAATTTAACTACTTTCGGTTCATGCGTTACGTGGAGATATATTCGTTCCGTTTAGCACACTTGATCTGTATTCAATAACTTACCTGTTTACTCAGGGACGTAGATAATTAATGTTATGTAACTCGGACTATTTTTTAAACCCGAAATTGTAATATGATGTGATTTGTTTTTACACAGGGACGTTTAATACCAATGAATTATTATGTTACTCTATATACGTCACTGGTTAGTTATAAATGTATATCATATCATATATAACCAGCACGGGTCTAAATCAGTTAAGTGATACAATACTTAATTACACGACTGACCTGTTGAGTCATGCCATACACGAATATGTTACAGATATTGTTAGAGACATGTATAATGACACTAGTGTACTTGAGATAACGTTTGAGTCGCGTCTTAATAACATAACACGGTTGTTTCGATAGTCAATAAACGCATCGTCCGTGTCGAAATAAGCTTGTCTTACTGTAGAGGAAAATCATTTAAGAGTTTTCGCTTATTTTTCCGAAACTTAGTTACGAGTCATGTATGATAAATAGAATCTTGCAGTTGATGCCGATACAATAGATATAATTTATCAAAGTCATGATATAATTTGATATACAAATATACAGTATGTTATTCGCCTTAAGGTTCGTAGCATATTATTTGATGATTCCATATTAAATCGACCGACTCGTGTAATATCCTTTATCTATCAAAACATGCGGGGTCGCCTTATTATCTAGTTAATATACCCATGTGATATCTTCCCTGGTTCAAACGTGTAATAATAACGTTACTATTATTGATACAATCTTAACGGCCCGTCATCTCATAAAAGGCCACTTAGGGTCATCAACTGGTGAAACACACAGTGATCCAAAATGGAAATGACATCAAACAAGCTAAAAGTAAATGACAAATTCTAAAAATCTTAAATGGTTATATCATCACAAAAGTGACGTCAGGTTCAGATAATGCGATAAAATAGATATTAAATTCTTTTTCGTTTGATATGTGATCACATACTTGTCAAATAGGAACTGCAAATCTACTGGTACACTGAAACATATTGAAATAAATAAGGAGTAATCCTACAGCTAGAAAAGAAACACTTTGGGCTCGGCTAAAATTAAGATGAAAAGTTGAATTTATGTACTGATGATATTTCGGAACATTTTCTCCAGGTTGGTAATATCTGTAGGATGAACATTATTTTAAAACTAGAAATTGTTGTTAACAATTTGGCGGGCTTTGCACTCCTTTGACGACAAGTTGACCGGAAGTTGACATTTATCCTGATAACGATATATGAGAAAGATTCATTGTTTATTAGTCTCTACAACATATCCAAAGATGAAATTTTTATCTTGAAACGTTAATGAGATATAACTACATAATAACGAGGAAATACACTTTCTAAAGGTTCAAACATATTTGACCCCTGTGACCTTGAATGTCTGTCAAGGTTATTCATATTTGCAAGCCTTATAATGTAACATCTGATGATCATTACATCCCCAATATTAGTTCTCTAGACCTTGTGAAACTTGACAAGAAGATTGTTGAACACTGGTACCCTATTTTGTATATTTGAACTTTGACCCCTATCGGAAACCGGAAGTTGACATTTTGCTGGAGGTTTTCCTAATGACAATCACTAGGAAGTGTCCACAGAAGGTTTATAATCAATTTTCATCATTGTATGCCTTCTAGAAATTGAGAAACTTTCATTTAACGATTAATTGACATCTGTGACCTTGAAAATGGGTCAAGGTCATTTATATTATCAAACTTTGTTGCCAGTTACATATCCTTCTTGTATATGAAATATCAAGCCTCTAGGCCTTCCAGAACTTGAGAAGAAGTTTTTCAAAGATTGGTACCGTAAATAGCTCTTTCCGAATTTGTGCCCTACCGAAAACCAGAAGTTGAACTTTTAGGGAAGTTTTTCTTATGACAATCAATTGGAAGTGCCCACAGAAGGTTTATAATCAATTTTCATCTTTGTGTGCCTTCTAGAATGTGAGAAACTGTCGTTTAACGATTTTTAGTTAATTGACATCTGTGACCTTGAAAATGGGTCAAGGTCATTTATGTTATCAAACTTCGTTGCCAGTTACATATGCTTCATATGTGTGAAATATAGAGCCTCTAGGCCTTTCAGAACTTGAGAAGAAGTTTGTCAAAGTTTGTAACTTAAAATAACACTTTTGAACTTTGACCCTTACCGAAGACCGGAAGTTGACCTTTGATCCCAGTTTTTTTCTTGTGAAAAGTGTTTTCTTATTATTTTACATAATATGGTCAAAACTGAGGTCACTAGCTGAAAGAGTTCTTGAGTTACGGCATTTTAGGTAAAATCGGATATGACGTCATAGCGGCCATTTTGTTTTTCTAATAATTTTGTAAATGACACTAAATGGTAGAGGACATCTGGGGAAACCTTTCTGATATAAATTATTCCAAAGAAAGCCCGTTGGTAAAGATCTAGATCGAGTTTTTCCAAATTGTCGGCATTTTTAAAAGATCAAAGGAAATTTTCAAAATGGCATACAACGGAAGTGGTAAACGTTACAGAAAAACTAAAATCACTAAATTCATCGGAAGGACATTCTGCATCGATGTGTTTAAGAAATTTTCAAGAAAAATCAAAATTGAAAGAAAAATAATTTTGTTTTCAAATTTTCAAATATTGACCCCGCAGCGAGCTTTTTTATTAGACATATTTTGTATTATAATGGCACGGGGAAAAGTTAGATAAGGAAATTGTCTACAAATAACATAATCGGACAAACTCTGTACACGCAACGGTTTTCGAGTTACGGCCGTTTTAAAGTTTTTAACTTATGACGTCATAGCGGCCATATTGGATTTTTGACCTACTTAAAAAATCTGCATCGTCACCTTCCAGTATGTACCTATAACATAGTTAATACATATTAGGTGTGGTCTTTACCGTTTAAAAGATTACGAACCCACAAAGTTCGGAAGAAAAATAATAATAATAAGAAACATAACAAAAACAATAGGTCTTTTCACCAAATGGTGAAAAGATCTAATAACCAGTAGAAGATTTGAGAGCGACGTTTCAATTACTACAAGGCCACATTCATTAGACAAATGATCAGCTTGAAGCGTACTAGCACTGATGTACATAGTGTACGAGATGTTAAGAAATCGACCAACGTTTTTGGTTGCACTATTATCCTATGTACGTTAAGATCGAAAACAGCGTGCCGAGATGGTAGGCATATTAAAGAAAAAAATACACTAGATGGTAACAATGTAATGTAACCGATTTGGCTACGCTTTGGTTAACACTTGACCATAAATGTGTGAGAGTTTGTGGCCCCCGTCGTCCCTGTTTACACGGAACATCTCAAGACTGGTGTTGCAAATATTTGTTCATGTGCGTTGTTACTTTACAAATACATGTCCGGTCTCAAAAGCATGCGTATATAAATAACATATAAGCTTACATGTGGACTTTAAATGAGTTTTCAAAAGAACTGCAGCGATATTTTTTCTTTTAAATTACTTGCTATCATATAACATTTAATGAAACCTTCACCAGAACAAAAGTTACATTTTTGAAAGTTTTGGCGTTTGGGTTTCATACATCTTTAAAGTAGGCAGCCACCGTTTCCAATCCATTTTCAATATTATGACATCATAATCGACTTCTGACTGGAGCAGTCAGTTGAAAATGCCCATTTACATTTGTGAAATATACGCGAAAATATTACATGGGCGAATTCAGGAAGATTATAAAATACATAAGTCTGTTGTTTTAAGATGTAAAGTATATCTTGTAACTGATATTTTTTTCTGTGAATTGTTGCGGACAAGAAATAAGCGTTTTTTATAGAATGATTTTGATTAAAACGAATTTCAGTAAGGTACTACCAAGCAAACCTAGCTCTTCTCTATTTCTGTACTTAAGGTAGTCTCCCTTATAACGCCGCCGACGCATATGATGAAATGGATGATGTTCATTGGGCTCAGAACTCCGAAGCCTCATTGATGAACAAACCAGCCTTACTATTTCGGCAGCCTACTGCACAGATAGTTAAAACTTCTTTAAGCTAAAGCCTCACATTAAGCGTCAGTTACACAATACACTGTTGATCAGATTCCTTGTACTATTTGAAATTGGCAAGGTTGTATTTGATTAAATGGTGTCAGTGCCGAATTTCAGTACTTTTTTTCTAAATGTTTCTTGAGGTATGGGTATCATGGAAAACTCTCAAAAACATACCAACCCGTACGATCACCATCATCAGTACCTTCCAAAGGGCCGGGCAAACGTACTACAGATGACAGTAAATAGGATCACGCAGAGAATGGTAAATTACGGATAATATCATGGAATGTCAATGGAGGTCTATGTACAAAAATAACTGATCCAGTATTTACAAACTATGTTGGATACCGAATGATTATAACTTAGATATTAATGGTTTCTATTCTATGTGTATACCAAGAACATTGTCAAATCATACACAAGGGGGTGGTATCGTTGTTTTAATACGAGAAAAATACAAGGAGTATATTTCAGTTGATAAAATTTTGTATGATCCAGTTGTATGGTTAAGATTAGACAAAGTAATGTTTGAACACAGTAAAGATGTCTTTATGGCAGGAGTTTATATCCCGCCCAGTAGATAAAATTATTATGCAAAATATAATTGTGATTTATTTTTTGAAATTGAAACCTCCGTATAGCCGAGTACTCAAACTTGGGTGAGGTCATTTTGATTGGAGATTTTAATAGCAGAACTCGAAACGATGATGACTTTATTGAAAACGATGATTTGGTTAAAAATTTGAAACAAAATGTACGTAACTTTTTTTAATTATGAAAATGATGTTATTATGGATAAACGTATTAACCCAGACAATGTCCGCAATGAATATGGTAC